TTATTTCTATTATATTTTATTACACTTTTAATTTTATTACTTATGTTTATTAAATATAATTTGAATATCTTAGGTATGTCAGGAAGACATTTTATGTCTAATTCAACATGAAAAGACACCTGTCAAATATTTTTTGTAAACAATGCAATTATCGTTGAGTGATAATTGCACACTGTGCAATTACCGCTGTAATTTTTCGATAATTGCACACTTCAAACGGACAGATTATCATACGAAGGAAATATTCCAATAAATTTAATTGGAACACTCGGCTCCTGACCAGCTTTGTAAATGTTTTTCCGGAACCTTTTGCAGCATCGAAATTTGGACAAAACCCTAATAATTGTTCCTGGATTTTTTCCCAAAAATATTTCCCCGAACAGAACAACTGAAAGTTTATAATGAATTATTCGGAAAACCCATCAGTTTTGTCGCTGTGAATAATTTGGTTAATTTAAATTCCGGTTTCTTCACTTTTACAACCATATTTCTAAAGAAAACTCTCTCTAAACAGAACAACGCGGTTTTTCCTAACGTTTTATTGTAAAATACTGGCAAACTGAGAGTATTTTATGCAAAAAAGTTAAAAGATGGATTTTAGAGAGATTTTAGAAAGATCGTCTTTACAGTTTGGTCCTCGTCTTTTTCGAATACCTGTTTTACGTTTGAATTTGAGACAAAATCGAAACAAAGTCATCTTGTTTTTTTCGACAACATTTAGGTTTTCTCAAAAAACGACCAGAGAAAGCAAAAGCATATAATTAATATTTGGAAAACGCGTCATCCCCATTGCTCTGAATTTTTTTTAGGTTTCTTCAAAATCTCCGGATTTTCCCGTTTTGGACCAAGTTTCAAGCAATCGCATGCGCAAAAGCAATATGTTGATGGCTTTTTTGTTAGATGCTAAAATTGCTCATTAACCAATGAGTTAAAACTTATTAACTCAGAGAGCGGCACAACTTAAAAACGCAACTCAACAGTGTTACCCATACCTACTCTATTCGTCCAGAACAAAGTGCAGGATGCAATAAGTATAAGTGCACAAAAATCGATAAGTAACAAGTTTCTCAGTTTCAATAACTCTTTAGTTAATATTTTTGAAAGATACGGGCGAAGGAAAACTGGTGACTGTGAGTTTTTCGGGCTTTCAGGCCGTAGTGAAAATAATTTTTGCATTGCATCTTCAAAATTGGTGCGTCGTTGAGCCACTCACACACACTTCTGAAGATGGCCGCCACTCGTGGTTGCAAAACGTCACTAACGAACAAAACGATCTAAAAGCTCGAAACACTTATCAGTTGCAAGCAATGGCATTAACACGAAACTTACGACCACGATATTTAAAATATAGATACCTAAATTTTTCACAAATATTTCCATTAGCCAAAGTTCTTCTGTTTTTTTTTTCTATTAAAATTTCCGAACTTACGCATTGAATATTAAAGCAAAATGCTCAAATTTTAAGTGAAAATGCCGTAACCTTTCAATCGCTTTTGAATTTCTCGACTTCAATTTCAAAGCCTACCGTTGCTTCGTCGAGCAACTTAACTCATGTCCGAAATCGGTTCAGACTTTTTTTCACATTCCGTGGTCACTTTTCAACAAATGGCATTTAAATTATTTAAAGTTGAAAACGTGAGGTTGAATTTGCTGAATGTAAACAACAAATTGGGAGAATAAGTCACCATAGTGTTTACAAAATTCCCAATAAGTTTCGTTATTAATTTGCCTCAATTGTGCAGTGCGCGGCATTAACTAGACTTATTAGTTGCTGTAGCAGCCTTAATGTGCGTTATTTTCCATGTGGTAACCATACAGTTAAATTATGAAGAAAATTAAAAAAAGATTATGAACTCTAAATCAAGATTCAAAATCTAAGCGATGGTGGTGAAAGTATGCGCAAAATAAACCGTTGATCGCCTCACAATTTTTTCCAATTTCAAGTTGCACAAATGGTAACTTGGCTAAAATCGCAGAAACTTCCAACACTCGCCAATATCAAACCAGCAATTTTCATATTTTCCCATACTTCCGAGAATTGTAACAAATTTCCTGTCTCGCTCGGTGACCAGTAGATAGCAGAAAAAGAACAATTATTGCGTCACTGCCAGAAATCTTGGGACAGACTGTAGAGTGCTGCCAGACAATGGTTCAGATATTATCCAATATTTTTCATTGAAAAAACACAAGTTTTGAGCGGAAAACCACTGCAAACGGCGTGATTGAATTAACAAAATAGAGATAAGTTGAAGCTTTTGAAGAGAGAAAATGAGGAAATTGTCCTTTGGAATAAAGCTAAAGTATCTATATGGGCGTTCCACTTAATTAGACGCAACTGATTAACGCAGTGTGGTTCAATGTAGCAAACATTAAACCAAAAAAAAATCAACTATTCTTTTCGTCAGTTCTTTGCTGGAAAACCCCGTCGGCCAGGCCATAGCACTTTCGCCGGCTTGGCCTGATGCTCATGCATGTAAACCTAGCCAATCGTCAGAATATTCCAGAAATAGGTGGAAAAAAAGCGTAAACGCGACGAAGGGCTGACTAAAAGTATCAAAAGAGTTCATCAAAAAGCAATCACGTTTCATTGAAGTGGAGGAAATTTAAATTATAGCGCTCAAGATAAACAGCGACGGCCGTTTTTTCGTCTGTGTTTGATCTGGCGGCCGCGGCCCCCTTCTGATCGGAACTTTTTCGGGGAGTATTGAAAGTGAAGCTTAGATGGGAATAATTAAGGCATTTGAGGAACCCGCGCACCTAATGAGGCACCAAGACGAACGTCTCAATACGCGGCTGAGCCGAAAAGGGGCCCCGCCAGCCTGTTTGGGACACGACAACGCACAATACATTTAATTACGATCGGAAAAGTGTTAAACAACAACAATGGCGCTGGATGACTGTCGAAACATCGGCCAAACACGAAAGTCGAAGCGCAATTAATTATTTTTCATGGTGCTTGAATGCGCTGAATAACGGACGATGTTCCTCCCCATTCTCTAAGCGCACTTCTGCTACAATTTGCCATTGTGTACTGATGGAGATATTATAAACCCCCATTTCGGCCCCATTATAAAGTTCAAAACTTGGCAATTCATATCGGTGGCGGTGACTAGGCGGAATTTTCAACCCTTAAACGGTTTTTAGGGCCACCGTGGGACCGCGGCACTGTTTGTTTTTTCCGATTTCCACAACTGGAGGAAAATCGACTTTTGAGAAACACGCCGCTCCTAAACCAGCCCTAATCGGTTTAAGGCGTTTTAAAAAGCTTTTAAGACCGACGAAAAAGTCCTGCTTTCAAAAACTCTAATTTGTTCAAAGTGTCCCTTTGCCAACTTTTAAAACAGTAGTTCGGGACTTTTTAAATGCGGCCTCGGCCATGATGGCCCCGTAATCAAATCGCAACTTGTTGGGGGCAAACTTTCCAGTTTCGCTTAGTTGCTCCTCCATTTCGAATAACCGGCCGAACCCCTACATTTTTAAGAGCTCCCGAAACCAGCGCATCCACCAGCTCATCCCCGAAAAAAACCATGAAAGGTACCTACATAGTCTTTTCCACTACATTTCCGCATTAAACCGTTACTAATTGAAAGACAAAAGCATCATAAATTCTAAAAAAGGTTAAAGCAATTTGGGTAGTGAAATTAATATGGGAAAATGAACTTGAGTTGTCGGTTGGCGTTCATTAATAATTGTTATGGAAGTTTATTCTAACAAATGATTTATTAATGATCTGATTACGAGGAGAAAGGGTACCCACCGGCTACCATTGTGCGATGCCATATAGAAAACCAATTTAAAACGGGGCCCCCAGACGGTAAATGGACGTTGAACCATCTCAGGACCATTTCGGTGTTAGAAATCGCTGGATAAAAGTGGGCGACCGATAAAGCAGATCAGTTTTAAACAAACAATTTGCTTTTCCACAGCAAACAAAATTTCAAAGTTGAATCCGGCACAAAAGAACATTACCCAATTTTCAACGAATGCTCCAAGCAAGCATTGGGCTGAGTAATTCGGTCCGGCAAGTTGTTGCATTGGCAAAGTGTTTTGCGTTGGCAAAACCTGATAGGAAAAACAGTCCTGACCTTTTTAACTAGACGTCAAATGACAATTTTAACTTTAATTCACGAGTTCAACTACCGATGGTGGCGTTGCGAAACGTCAAATTACTCGTTGTCGAGTGACAGTTGAGACTTGGCAGACTTATTTATTTATTGGAGTTGATGACATTTATAACATAAAACAATACTTCCACACTTTTCGATCTGTTCCTATTTATTTAAAAGCTTGCAAAAGTTGATTAGAACAAAACAAAACAAATCACAATCAGATGTAAGTGTCAAATTACTTGTAGTTATAATTTTAGCCACCAGGAGACGTCTGGAGTTTTGAACTCGCGAATAGTAAATTTTTACCTAAAGTCAGGCATGATTTGCAAGGAAATACTTACAGAGTTCAATTGGAAGTTCACCAGCAGATTTTCGCACATACTTATACTGGAAACGGGCGAAAATTCGAAGCATTTTGCACACAATGAATTGTCAAGGTCAAAATAGGTCAACACTTTCTTTTCAACACATTTTGTCACTTCACGCAGTGTTTCTAAGATCTGGACCTCCCGGTGGCAGTCAAGTGAATCTGCACACTCAATTGGACGATTTTTTCAAGAAATAATGCAAAATTTTGACAGTTGAATCCGAGATAACCGAAAAAATGGCAAGGTTGCCGCGTTTTTTCTACCAGTCCCGACAACTTGCAACTAATTATTAAATGAGACGCCTTTTGCGGCTTCGCTAATGCGAGGAGATAACTGCAACGCAAAAAGGGCGAAAGAAAATTTACCAATTTTCGTCGAATGCGCCAAACACGCCAATAGGCCAAAATAATGGATCAACATCCCCGCTGCTTTGGACAGCCCGGCAACATGGCCAAACTTAACAGTGAAGGAACTTTAAATCCTAAATGGCGATTTCAACTTTAAAATTGAATTTTCAACTTACCTCAAGCTGTATTATACTTATACTTACAGGAAAATACTTATGCAGTTCAATGAGAAAGTCACTAGCACTTTTAGCAGATATTTTTACTGAAAACGGGCTTAAACTCGACCCAGTTTGCACACAAAAAATGGTCAGTGTCAAAACAGGTCGGAAATGAGTTTTGACAGACCGAGTTTACTTTCCGATAAGGAACGGTGGACGGGTTGGCAGAAAACAAAGACAAAAAAAACACGAAAAAAATTGCTTTTAATGATGGGATTTAGAATTTTTTCTTTTTTTTCCTAGGAGGGGCTGCGCCACTGAAATTCCTTGAACCTGCCCGGCCTCCGTCGTTGTCCCTGCCAAAGCCACTAATTTATTAATAATCAAATATAAATCAAGTATTAATAAAAAAACTGACCAAAAAGTGTAAAAATGCACTTGCTTTATGTGATTAAATGCTCTATAAAATTGTAAGTGTGCAAGGCCAAAAGGGCTGGACACAAAGTGAGTGCCGCGCAACGTTGTTCCCCAGTTGCAGTTAATGAGCTTATTAAGCGGTTTTAAGCAGATAATTCAGCGGAATTGCAGGTGTAAGTGCCCCGTAATTAATCTTTTGTGTGCCATAATGGGGCGCATCCGATCAACGGTCTGAGGTAAAGCAATAAGAAGGCGCGCATTAGCAACGGGACGGGAGACTTTGATGACCTGCTGTCAGCCGCGGCGAAGGGCGATTTATTTTTAATTTCCCACTTGCCTGTGATTTGCCAGCTTCTGGTTGAGCCGCTTGACCGGCACTCTGACCGCCTGCTGCTTGGCCATCCTGGAAACAGCCGTGGGCGACTCCTGCAGCCCGAAACTGGTCACGTAGTGCCCGATGTTCACGTTCCGCAGATCAAACATCGTCTTCATCTTGCCGGGGAACGAGCTGTAGAACCGCGACCAGGACGAATACGCTGCAACAATATCCGCGTGAAACTCAGCTTCGCTGTGGGATTCACTGTCCTTACCTGAGCAGGCCTTTTTGTGCAGCTCGTCGTCTTGGGCGATGGCCTGCTCGAAGCGCTTCTGGAGCTTGGAAATGGCCATTTCCTTATTGGGCTCGTCCATGAAGTCCATCAGCTTGCTGAGGATGAAGTCCACGTTGTGTTCGCGCAAGCTGAAACACCAGATTTTAGCCACTTTTGACTACACTGGGAGAGACTTACAAGACTTTGTGCGCCTGCAGGGTGCTGATGTAGTCCTGCTCTTCATGGGTGAGGAACAGGAGGGCAGAGCCCGACTTGCCTGCGCGTCCTGTCCTGCCCACTCGATGCAAATAGTCGTCGTCCGATTGGGGCCCAGTGTACTGAACGATGCAATCGGCCGCTGGCACATCAATACCGCGAGCCACCACATCCTGCAAACAGGCCAAAAGCGCTTATTTCAGACAAAAGTGCCACCAACAATGGATTAATTAAATTGGGCGCGGAATTCGTTCCGAATCAGGCCGCCCCAGTGGGGCCCCATCATTAGAACGCGGCTATTCAACGAGAAGATAAGGTAGCAGTCACCCGCTGCTTGCCCCAACAGCCCGTTTGAATAGGCGACTTAATTGGGGACTTACCGTGCATATCAGGATGCCTTTGGTGGCCGCGCGGAATCCATTAAAGACTTCCTTACGCTCCTTCTGGTCCATGTTTCCGTGCAGCTTGAAGAGCTCGACGTCCAGGGCCGGCTCTTCGTCGTCACTGTCGAAATCGGGCTGGCCGCGTACCACTGGCATGTTCAGCAGATATTTGCTGAAGAGCTGGTGATGGAACTCCACCATCTGGGTGGTGGCCATGAAGACTATAGTCTTGCCAGTGTGCTGAGCTTTGGATATTAAAGTGGCGGCCAACATCACTAGACGGTGCTTGATGAAGGTGACCACGAACTCCTGCTTAACCGTCTGCGGAATGACCATATGCTGCGGGTTGAGGGTGAACGAGTCATCCAAGGCGTCGATATACACATGGTCTTTCATCGTGAAATCGGCCAGTTCGGCCAAGTCCTTGGTCAGTGTAGCCGAGAGCAGCAAAGTCTGTCTGGGGCTTTGAGCCCCTTCGGTTTTAACCCCTTTTAATAGAGCTAGAGGATCGTAGCCGTCGGCAGCTCGTTGACTGTTCAGCTCCTCCACTAGCCTGACAATATCCTTCTTAAATCCCATGTCCAGCAGCCTGTCGGCCTCGTCCAGCACCAAGCAGTTCACGCTCTTAGCGTTGAAAGCCGCCGTATGCAGGATGTGATCCAGAAGCCGCCCGGGGGTTCCAACAAGAATGTGCACCCCTCGCCGCAGTTTGTCCTTTTCGGTCTTGCGGTTCTCGCCGCCGCTAATCTGTCCGGTAACAATCCACTGGAAGGTCTTCAGAGGACTTCAGAAACACCTCATCAAAAACCGGAACCTACTTACATTGAGCTTGCTGATTAATTCATGCGTCTGCTGCGCCAGTTCCCTAGTTGGAACCACCACAATGGCCTGCACCCCATCGCTGCGCTGCAACTTCGGCGTTCGCCTCACCAGTTGGTCCAGAATGGGCACCGCATACGTCAAAGTCTTGCCAGAACCAGTCTGGGACCTGATCTGGAAGTTTGGGGCTACAACACTGGAAAACTTCCTCTATGCAGTTTTTACCAAGCAATTCTTTCCTGATAGAACCACGGGGATGGCCTTCTCCTGCACAGTGGTCAACACAGTGAAGCCATGCTTCTCCAAGTTGGACTGCAGGTGCCGGTGGAGGTCTAGGGCCCCAAAATCACCTCCTGAGCTAAAAACGCGCTCGGCCACTGATACTCCTTTGACGTCGGTGTTAATGTGCACATTTTTGTACTTTTCCGAGAAGAGCGAGTGCGATTTGGAGCTGGAAGCCGCCGGCACTTCGCCCTTCAGCTTGCTCTTTTTCGCCTTGCGCCTAATAAAACCGCCGCCGTCAGCAGTCGGGGCTGCAGTAGCATTTTCGAGGGCCTTCAACACCAGGGGTGCAGCAGCCGTTTTATGGGGTGCAACAGGGGCTTTGGACGGCGCCGGCTTCCTCCGGGCCAGGACTCTACTGCCCTGCGGGGCATCGGTCTTACCGAACTTGAATTCAAACGAAGTCATCTAGAAAAACAGCAGTCTGTTTAGTTAACACATGCTACTGTTGTTGATACCACTGGGAAAAGTAGGGTTATGCACTTGTCTTCATCTATGGTTATGCACAGATCACAGAGGTTACTCTATGATCTGTGGCGTTATGCCCACAATTAACGCACCATTATGGCGACTGTTGTTTTGTTTTGGAAATTGTTGAATTTCAGAAGGTGAAAAATCCTGTAAAACGGCATTAGGTCGAAAAATGTTGTTTGTTACGAGATTTTCTATAAAGTGAATCCCATTTAATAAAAACATTGTGAAGTTGAGACAAAAAGTCAACGTCGCCTGTTGTTGTCAACCTACGATGACGTGTATTTAAAAAATGGCATTGTTATTGCACCAAATTGCTTGAAAGTTCTGCGCCCCCCTAGAAAAATGGCCCTAATGACGATGATAGCACGAGTGGCAGACGGCCTGCCACTGGCCGCCACCATGCAGGAAGATGAGCAGGTAGGTGTGGGGTGGAGGCTTATACCAATGGGGCTTATGTTGTTTGGTTGAAGGCGGGCCGCAACATTCTGGACTACCAAAACCAGGCCAAGATGCTGTTCCGAAAGCTGTCTACCCAGACGCCGCCGCCCCGCTGCACCATCGAAACGGGGCCCTACTTATTCCAGTAGGCTGGGAGCAGCCCCTACTTTCTGCCTGGAAGCTAATCTAGTCCTCATTGCAGTTACCTGATTGAGTACGATGTTTGCTACCTGGTGCTCTGCGAGAAGAACTTCTCGAAGCGCCTGGCCTACTCCTACTTGGAGGATATAGCGCAGGAGTTCCACACGCAGTATGGGAAGAAGGTGAACACTGTGACCAGGCCGTATACGTTCATCGAGTTCGACACGTACATCCAAAAGGCTAAGAAACAGTTCAGTGATTCTCGGTCCCGCAGGAACCTGAACGTCATCAACAACCAGCTGCAAGATGTTCAGAGAATTATGGTACAGAACATTGACGACGTCCTGCAAAGGGGCACAGTCCTGTCAGGTAAGCGGGCAACGATTTACGCCCTCCGTTTTACCCTTGAGGGGGTTTCAGAGCTCGACACCAAGACGCAAAATCTCTCCATGCTAACGCAGAAGTACAAAAAGGACGCCACTTATCTGAACACCAAGTCCATGTACGTGAAGGCGGCCATCGGCGGCATTGTGCTTTTAGTGTTTTTCTTATACTTTTGGGTGTTGTAAGTTAGGTAAGGTTTATTATCATTATTATTAAATTAGTTGGCGTCCGGGTGTAAATAAACTAGAACATTCCTCTATGTAAGCTCTGGCTCTTCGTCCGATTGGTCAGTGACAAACAGCAGATTGGTCAGAGAGTTGCACAATCTCTCGTCGTTCTCCGCGCGCTTGATCAGCTTCTCGATCACTTGCCCGCCTGTCCTGCTCTCATCTACCTGGTCCTCGTCATCTGAAAATCCCTTTTGCTATTTGCCTTCTCCGCAATCCTCACTCTCTTTTACCTGTGTCAATCAGCTGAAATCCACTACCATGGTCCCTCAACACCACATGTATTACTGGGTGCTCGATGATGAGCCGCTTGGCCAAACACTCCCTAACAGTCAGGTCTAGATCCATCTCGTAGAACTTCGCAGTGCCCTTCTGCTCAGCCCGCAATAGCACTTTGAGGCCGCTCAGGTCTGCGGCTTGATAGAACTGCATTCGCTCCTGCAAGGCGGGATCCTCCTGCTTCACTAAATGCCTGCTGAGGAGGGAACCGATCTTTTGCTCTTCGTCCACCCGGGGTTCTCTCACCACCAGGTTGTCGGCGTTCACAAACACCCATTCCAAGTGCCACAAAATGTGCTGCCTTTTTATATCCCACCGGCTTGTGTTTCGTCTGTGCCTGACAAAGTGCATGGGCAGGAACTTGAGCAACGTCCTGCGTTGCTGTGCAGCGCTTCTAAGCTTCAGCAGGTGCTAAAATTCACTGATTAACTCTCAATACTTTGGGTAGCTGGTGCCCAACCTACTCGCGGTAAAAGGTACGAGTGCAGCCTGCGGCTCCTGGACTCCTTCTTAATGGCATCCAGCCGGTCGGTGATGCTTTGTAGCAACCGATAGTCGCTTTCGCACACCAGATCAGTGAACTGGTTCATTGGCAGGTACTTGGTTTTGTCGCGCAGCCCGTCGCACACCAGTTCAGCCTTGTGGATGCGGCTGCACTGCAACGAGCAGGTTTTCACCTCGCATTTTGGGCAGGAGTACTTTGCTTGCACGCCCGCACATACCTCACACTCCCCCAGTCTACAAAACAACTATTCAAACTGCAACAGTGCGATAATGGGGCTCACCTGGTATGTGGAATGGGAGCTGGTGTCGCTGTTTCCGGCTCCATTTGACAAGAAAAATTTCTTTAACGAGGGGCGGTTAGTTTCATTCTAACCATAAAACAAGGCTTATAGTTCTTAGGATTCTAACTAATTAGGGACTAAGGATTCTAACGTTGCGTTTAGCGAGGTCTGATAAAACTTGTAACAAATACTTGCTTGAACACAATTAAGCTGGGTTAAGTTGTATTTTGTATGTCTCGCGTTTCCATCCACTGTTGCCAACATCAACAATTTGACAAGATCTTGAGGCCCGTGTATTAATCTTGAAAATTCCGTATTTAATTTAAGCAGGAAAAAATGCTCAAAATTGCTGCAGACAATCGATACCAAATGCACAGCGTTCCACAAAAGTATTTACAAAATTAAGATTTTTAACCAGTATTCTCTGCCAGTAGCACTATCGAAACTTTTGAACCCTAACCGAAGATTCTGAGTTGTGCACTTCATAGAGAAAGTAAAATAATTATTTTACTTACTCTATGGTGCACTTCAAAGTGACAACCTTCGGCAGCAAAACATTAAAGACTTTACTATTTATCTCTTAAAATTCAGGTCGTCAATAAGGGCCCCTCTAGTGAACCGTGTCCCCATTTCAAGGCCCTGGGGGTTGCTCCTTTGTAATTAAGCCCCAAATCACGTTTGTTTGCTATGATAAGAGCTAATTGCTATCCAAAGCGGTCTTATCAATGAAGAAGCGCAAAGCTCGGTAGGCAGGAGCTTCCGCTATGGAGACCGTAGTGAATGGGGCCCTCGCCCCAGATGGGGATAGAGTGGAGAAACGAACGCGGCGAAGAGTAGGCAACAAGTCCATCATCCAGAGTGCCATTGCTCGCAAAGAGCGTTCTTTGAGGCTGGACGACAGGCCTAAAAAGCGCCCCTCTAGGGCTGGTAAGAGAAAAAACCACAAATGTGGGCAATTGCCGTCACTGTCGATTTTCAGAGCCAGCCAAGAGGCCCCAAAGATCAAAGCCGGCCCTCAGGCCCGTCAAGCCTGAGCCAGAGGACGAGTGGAGCGGCCCTGAAGCCAGGGTGGCCCCCCCACTGTGCAAATGCACTGAAGACAAGCAACTGTTTATGGAGAATGCACAAGGCAACAGCTTAACAGTCGAGGCTCTTCGAAGGTTTAACCGTGGATTTGCAGGTCGTCAGTTTTGCTCCGCCGTGGACGGAATTGGGGACCAGCTTTTCGGTTGTTGTCGACTGGTGGACGTCACGGAAGCCCCATTGAGTAGGCCCTCTGTACGGGTGCCGTTTGGGGTGCTGTGCGGCTCCCACCGTCAAAGACTGATCAGGCACAATTGCTGCCCCATTTGCGGTGTTTTCTGCACCCATGTAGGCCTTCCTTACGTGTTCTGGCGAATTTGCGATAAATCAATGCGTTCTTCCAGGGGCGCTTCGCGCAATGTGCCGCCGAACACCATTTTCACAAAGACTGCCAGCAGGAGGGCGCCTGTCCCCATTGCGCCGACCCTGCTCCCTGCACTGATATCACCATCACCATGCATTCGCCTAAGCAGCCAGTGTTCCTTCCCGTTCAAAGATCTCAGTAGTAAGTGATTGTTTTTCGGTTGTAATAAATTTATTTTGGTTATCTTTTGTTTTATTCAGCCCCTCAACTAGTGAGGCGGCTCTCATCAGTATTACTGCCCCAAAAAGGGGACGGAGCCCCGAAGTCCCCATCATTCCCCCTGGCCAGTTACAGCCAATCCGGGACGGGACCACGGTGCGTTTGGACGAGTGCAACCACGCAGGGCTGGTGGCGGCTGTTGAAGAAAGCGACGCCCAAAGGGCGGCAGTGATTTTGGGTAAGTCCCCCAATTATGGGTGGTTGTTTTTATGGCCAGCTGTTTAGAAACAGGAAACGTGGACCTGCACAGCCGTCTGCCCGAGTGCAACAACGGAACTTTTCTGCACCTGGCCGTTCAAAAGGGCGACCTTCCCATTGTTTATCTGCTAGTGGCCTATCGGGTGGATCTGGACGCCCTGGACGCAGAGCAAGGCTCCGCCTTGATGCTGGCAGTGACGGAACATCGGAACCAGATCGCCCAGTATTTGATAACAGCCGGGGCGCAGGTTGCTCTTAAGGTACGTCCAAAATCACCGCAGCCTATTGTTGTGATTGCCAAGATTTCAGGGCACCGACGGCATGACGGCGCTACACGCGGCCGCAAGAACCGGGAATTTAGCAGCTTGTCAGGCGCTGTTGCGTGCAAACAAAGGGCTTTGCGACATGCGGGACGACGGTGGCTGGACGCCCCTCGTATGGGCGTGCGAGCACGGGTTTACCGAAGTGGCGCGCTTTCTCCTCGACCAAGGGGCGGACATTCATTCCAGGTGAGCGCCCCATGGGGCTTAAGACTGTCGCTTTATTTCTGCGGGCGCAGGGACGTGGAGCAGAACGTCGCCCTACATTGGGCGGCTTTCAAGGGCAGTGCCGCCACCGCGGAGCTGCTCCTCAACCTCAACAGCGACGTCAATGTGGTGAACGTGCACGGCGATACTCCATTGTAATTGGCCAGGGTTTGCTGCTGATTCAGTTGATGCTTGAGGTTGCGTTGCAGGCATATGGCGGCGCGGGAGGACTGCTACAACTGCGTCCTAGTGCTGCTGGCGCGTCGCGCCGACGTTTCCCTGGTGAACAAGAACAGTGAGACTGCGTTGGACTGTGCGCCCAAGACCGGAAAATGCTTCGCTCCCCTTGCGCTCAACGCCCAGATGCATTTTGCGATAAGCAACAACCCTCAAAGGCACCCCAGTCTGCTCAGCAAGTGAGTCCAGCCGGCGGCTTGTTGCAGTCAATATCAATTCAATTTTAGCGACATTTCCAATGGGCGGGAGCAGAACCCCATCCAGTGCGTCAACGATGTGGACGCGAGTCCGCAGCCCAATGACTACACCTACATAGCAAAGACCTGCGTCAGTTCGGGCAATGTGCAGATCGACCGCAAAGTGGGCGCGATGCTCCCATGTGTTTGCACGGAGCGTTGCACTTGTTGCAGCTGCGCCCAGGGCTGGTACGACCAGGGCAAGCTGAGCGCCGACTTCAACTTCCTAGGTACATATCCGGCCTGTTTCCACCTAATTTTGAAGGCTGTTTTTTGGGCAGACCCGCCGCTGATATTCGAGTGCAGCGACTTGTGCGCCTGCAACGCCATCCTGTGCCCCAACCGGCTGGTGCAGCGCCCCCTCGCCCAGCGCTTCCAACTGTTCCGAACGCAGTCAAAGGGCTGGGGCGTCAGGGCACTGGGCGCCATCGGCCTGGGCCAGTTCGTGTGCGAGTACATAGGCGAAATTCTCACCGATCTGGAGGCGGAAAGCCGCACCGACGACAGTTTTCTTTTCGACTTGGACAACCAAGTGAGGCTGCACTACACCCTTTAAGCCCACAGACTTCGATTTTTTATATGCTTTTGACCAGCGCCGTCACTACTAAGAGAAAACGAAAATCTTGAATTAGAACCAAAGTCTGTGGGACACAAAACCACAGCTTAAATATCATACAGCTGCGCACTCTCCATCGGAACACGGTTTCGCGTCGTTTTACTCGCGCAGCCCGTAAATCCCGCCTCTGGACGAAAAAGAACATTGGCGTGAGATCGGGGTATGTATTGTACCAGCCGCTTATAGTCATAGTTGTTGCGGTAATATTATTAAATACGATCCATATTAGTAAATGCGATGCATTAATTAAATACGCTAAATACGATTTATTTTTCAAACCAATTTTGAAAGGTGTATCACACAAAGTGATGTTTGCATGAAATTTCTTCAAATATGAGAAGTTACATATTTTAATCATTCATGCAAATATTTTCCCTCAACTTTTGTGAAGTAACTGTTTTTCATAGTAAGAATTATTTTTTCTCTAAAACAGTTAATAACAATTTCAAAAACTACAATAAAAATAAATTAATTATATGGGGTAATCAATAATTATAGCAGATACCAGATATGTATATCGCTCATTTGCAAGAAGGCAGACAGACCCTTTTCGTATTTATGTGATACTGAATCGTTAAGCTTTTCAGAGGGTTCAATATTCTTAACACATTTAATTAAGTATCGTATTACCGTGATGATTACCTTCTTTTTTTACATTTGCGTTTCAGCAAAAATGTACTTCTTTCATTGGTTTTTGATTTACCAAATAGAAAGTTCTGAAACGAAACAGCATTGCTACTATGACTTTTCATCAAAAAAGTGTAATTTGTTTTAAATGCTTAAGTATTCCGATATGCTATCAATTAAACATTGAACAATTTCAAAATAATACTTAATAACAAAGTTGAAATTTGATTTTCAACTGTAATTCAATCTTCTAGAAATTATCGAAAAAAAAATTTCTGTATTTTTCTCGTACTCTCCAAGTGAGCCTCTATTACCACTTAAAAGGATGACGCCAATTTCGAATCAACCAGTATAATCCGCTATTAGAAGGGCTACCATATCAGTTATGCACTTTTATTTGGTCCATATGAAAAACAAAAGGTGATGATAGTTGTTGAAAAGAATTCGTTGTAATATATTTTCGTAGACACCCTTTTGCAGCTCTCGAAACGGTGCCATGTGAAAGCATTTTTTGTTTTTTCATATGATTTGAAATAACTTCAAAAATGAATCTCTAACTATCTCAGTTAAAATAAATACTGCTTTTTTGAAAATGCCATGTACAGTTGGTATAGTACAGTACACAAAATTGTTTTAATTTGACAATTTAATTAATCTCCTTAAATCTTGCTCTTCGATTTTCCAAATCTCTCAGCTGCTGTTTTAGTTGACCATCCTTTCTCGATTAATGTAGCTATTCCAGTTTTTTCAAATAGTTTTGACTGCCATTTTGATAATAGGAAAATGCATTTATGAGTAATTAATTTAATATACTTCTTATCTTTTACGGTTTCGAAGATACCCAATCAATATACAGGGTGTTCCGCAAATATGCTAAAATATTTTAACAGCGTGTTCTCCTAGTCATTTTAGAGCGGGGTCTTCTTGAGAATTTTGTTATTTTGAGGTCTAATTTTTGATATATTTGATCTCCAAAATGTCGAAAAATATTAGTTTTTGTTGTTTTTTTTTAAACTGTTAAACATATAATCTTCAATTTTGGTATATATTATAAGCTAATTGAGTGCCATTTTATGGTAGTGTTGTGTAGTTCAGTTTACTTCTATACGGGGTAGAAATGTGGAACCCATACTTTTGCTTTGTTCAGAACTTTTTTTTGTGCACCTAAACTTTTATCAACATAATTTTTTTAATTACTAGAACTTATTTATCAACTTTCATCTCTTATTGTTTTTTCCTAAGACCACTAGTTTGCCCACAAAAAAATTAATCGTTTCGGCTTGATCAAAACTTTCCAAGCCGTTGGATTGGGAGAGGTCAAGTAGCTCCTATAAACTCGCCTCCTAAATCTCACAATCTAAACGCGCTTGATTTTTACTTCTGGGGCCATTTAAAAAATACGGTATATTCAACAGAAGTGAATACAATCGAAGAACTTCAGGAAAGAATATTTAATATTTCTAACGAAATAAGAACTTCAGTGCAAATTTAAATTTCATTAAAATACTGCGATTATGCCAAGAATGTCAAAGTGACCAATTTTAACAGCTGCTAAGTTAACATTAGAATGGTTATTTAAATTTAATTTTGTTGGTTTATATCGTTGCGCATATTGTTACCATGTTATTATTTAAGTACAATTTATTGCTTAATAATTACTTAATAATTGTAATCTGAACCAAAATACACGGTTTAGAAATATAATTTAGGTTGTTAGTAATCAACTAATAATGCGTACCAAAATTATTATATGAAAACGTTATTAGATTTAAAAAAAATTACTTTAATTACTTACACATTTTGAGAACGGCAAAGAAAACAATTTTATTTTTTTGCGGACAAACTGGTGGTCCTAAGAAAAAACAATAAGAGATAAAAAAGTTGGTAAATAACTTGTAGTAATTCAAAATATTATGTCGAGAAAAGTTCTGAACAAAACAAAAGTAGGGGTTCCACATTTCTACCCTGTATGAAAGCAAACTGAACCACGAAACACTATCGTAAAATGGCACTCAATTAGCTTATAATGTATACCAAAATTGAAGTTTCTATATTTAAACGTTTTAAAGGAAAACAACAAAAACTAATATTTTCCGCTATTTTGGAAATCAAATATCTCAACAGCAAAACCTCAAATTAAAAAAATTCTCAGGAAGACCCCCTCTATAATGACTAGGAAAACACGCTGTTAAAATATTTGAACATATTTACGGAACACCCTGTATATTAAATAGCCAATCAGTAAATCGATGTGTGGTTGTACTTTAAAGTTTTAGTAAAAAATAAATTTTATTTAACGATTTCTTAATGCGGCACTGTTCCAGCTCATTTACAATAATAGAAATCTTTTTAGTCCGGACTCGACAAATAAACCCTGTGCGAGAGAGATAGCAAGCGTTGGTTGAAACTAGGGCTCGGAATCAAACTCGAATAATTCGAGTATTCGAATATTCAAAAAGCGAATAATTATGTGGTCATAACTCGAATATTCGAATACTGGAATACTCGAATACACCAACATTATCAAACTCACAAGGTGCAAATATCTTTATATGCACATTGTATACTTTTATAAAATAACCAATATTCAAATATTCGAATAAACCGCTAAACGAATATTCGAATTTCAGATTTTTAAAAATTCCGAGCCCTAGTTGCCATTAGATCAAACATGCCGACGGCGAGTGCCCTAGCTGTATGATATATAAGCTGTAACAAAACTCTTTTTACCCATCAGCGTTTCAGGAGAGCGATTCATTTTGCATCGACGCCCGGTTCTACGGAAACTTTGCGCGCTTTATCAACCATTCCTGCTTCCCGAATTTGCAGCCGGTTAAGGTGTTCGTGGAGCACAGAGACTTGCGGTTCCCCCACATTGCGTTCTTCGCAAAACGCGACATTGCCGTCAACGAGGAGCTGAGGTGAGTGCGAAGGGCGCAGCCCCAGGGCCACATTGACGTGTTGGGGCGTTTCAGCTTCGACTACGGCGACAAGTTCTGGCTGGTCAAGTACAAGACGTTCACCTGCGAGTGCCGCGCCTCGTGCTGCCGCTACTCCCAGCAGAGTATTGCGGCCACCTTGGCCAAGTACCGAATAGGGAGCGCCAATGACTGATTCGAGTGAAGTCCAAAATTTTTTTTTTATATTGAGGTTTGGAAACTTCGCGTTGCTGTTGGCAAAGGAACAAAGATCGGGGTGGTTCAAAAGGCGCCTTATAACTAGAGAATTTAACAATAAATGAACGCTTAGCGTTCGCAAATGACACACACACAGGTCAGTCTTAAAAAGTCCAGTCTTCAGTTCTTGAGCAGGAGGTTTTGAGACGTCCTCCTGCGCCAGTGGACATCGCTGCTGCTCACAATCACGCTAGCGGGCTCCTGGGGCTGCGCTGAGGACTTGAGCAGATTGGTGTAGCGCGCGGGCACTTTGAACTTGATGTTCTTAATCATGGCGTGTTTGCGGTTCTGGAACGACGTCTCGTAGTGAGCGAGCGGCGATGCCTCTATCGGCTCAGGCCATGGACGATCCGACGCAGGCTGAGTTGATGGAACGAGTTCGCTCCCTCTGAAACAGCACACTGTCAAGGGAGAGATCTGGGGCGCGGCCGTGACGTACCTCGTAATATTGTAATTGCTCTTGAAAGCTGGCGTCTTAAACGCGAGCTTGATGGGCCCATTGACGCCGCATCCGGGGGGCCTAGAATCAGTAGATAAGGCTGTAGCGAGCTGCAGCGCGGCCGGCGCCCCCTCGGCCAAACGTTTCGTGATAACAGTCGGCGCCGTTATCACCTTAACGGCGTTGGGATTGTCGACGACCACCGATGGGTTGGCGGTGGTCGGCGCCAACTCTGAAACGGGCTGCGGGGTCTGAATTATATCGGCCCTCTTACCTGGATGCGTGTTCTTCACGTGCCGGTGCAAGTTGTCTTTGCGCCGGAACCGCGTCAGGCAAATACCGCACGAAAACTCCTTGGTCTCTGCAAAACAAACACGCTTTAGTCGAGCCCCCAAAGAGGCCCCAATTAGGCAATTTACCTGAGTGGATGCGTACGTGGCGCCGTAGGTCCTTGAGGTTGACGAACGACTTGCAACAGACCTCGCAAGAATGCGGCTTGAGGTTCAAGTGCGACATGCGATGGATCGACAGCGCCCATTTTCGCGAGAAGCGCTTCCCGCACTGGTCGCACATGTGCTCCTTCTCATCTAAAGACAGGGTGTGTTTAAAAAAAGCCGTGCCCCCCATGGCCTACTTACTAGAGTGAGACGCCAGGTGCTTCTTGAGGTTGGACGAATTGGAGAAACGGGCTTCGCACACCATGCACGGGAAAGGCTTCTCGTTTAGATGCGTCAAGCTGTGGATTCGCAGCGAGTCCTTGATCTTAAACGACTTGGCACAGTGCGGGCAGATAAAGTGCTTGCTCGACGAGTGCGTGGCTGCATGGCGCGCCAGCTTCCCTTTCTCACTAAATCCCTTAAGGCAGGTGCTGCACTTGTAGGGCTTGCCGTCTGCATGCTTAGCCAGGTGCGCTTGCAATTGCATGTTCAGCCCGAATTCCTTGCCGCACACCTCACACTTGAAGGGTTTGGCTGCAAGGATGTCCTTAGACTTAATCTCACAAGCTTCCCCACTTACCACTGCCGCAGTATCGGTGGTAGTGGACGTGAGCCCTGGTGCTAAATGTCTTGTCGCAAAGCGTGCACTGGTAAGCCACGGGGCTATCCAGCACTTTGATATGGGGCGGCAATTGCAGGCTGCTCTTCCGGGCCTTGCCCCGCCCGTTTGCCTTCGGGTCGGCCTCCTTGGGCGGTCGCACCTTGCCATTGCAGTGAATAACCGCTGTGCGATTGTCCGGCTTCTCAGCCCCGATTATCACACACAGCTCCATCTCAGCTCTAGGGTTTCTTAGCTAGGGGGGCACAAAATCAGCGAGTTGACATTTTGAGGTTATCCCAGATTGTTTTCATAAAAATTGATAAACAGGGCCGTCTTCCCTTTTGAAACTAGCTAAATTGCAGTGCCACCAACCGTCCCCAATTTAGTTTTGTTTATCTGCTGTCAGGCTAGTTTCTTCTTCTCATTTTCATCATTTGCAGTTAACCTAAAACCCTTTACGTAAGTGGGAAGTTTTTGAGGCTTTAGGGCCGTTCTAGTGGTGTAGGGAGCATGCAACTGTCCTCGTTGATGCGCCGAGTGTTGCTGTACAGAGGCACCTTCCATTCGGCTCAGAAAGGCATCATGACCACCCCGCGCAAGATGCAAGAGGTGCTCGAGGAGCTGCAGGGCAACCCCTACTACGGCAAGTACGCCGACAAGATCGCCAAGGTGCAGCAAGTGGCGCCCGAAACGTTCCAGAGCCGCGTCGAGGGGCTGGCCAAGAAGAAAATCGAGCCGGTAAAGGGGCGTCAGTTCTCGCAGCTGCTGCAGCCCAAGGAGAAGCTGCCGGAGCCCCTGCAGGCCAACGAGCCGCGCCTGGACGAGCTGCTGAAGCTGGAGCTGGTCCAGGACAAGTCGGCCGATGAAATCGAGGCCATTTGGCAGCAGTATCACCTAGCCAAGGACTGTACGATAACGGCAGTGATTCCGTCCAAGGATTTTGAAGTTATGGAGCAGAGGGCGGCCCAGTTTCCGACGTTTTTGTTCCCGCTGCCTCGGTCGCAGGGTTACGAGTTTATCATGTGCCAGTTTGAGGGCAACCGCGTCCATCTCACGCCTCTGCTTTACTTCCAAGTGCACAAGGAGAATGCGCCTGAGTGCCTCACCATCACGCACTTCAAGGAGCTCCAGCAGAAGAAGGGCATCGTGCTCATGAGGGGCGAATACGACGGCAACGTGCTCAACGCTAAAGAGGCCCAATGCATCGCCAACCAGCTTCAGATGTACTACGTGCAGGCGGACGAGCGCAAGCTGGAGCTCCTGGAGCGGTTCACCAGAACCCCCGATAGATTCGACCATATGGATTTGGTCGAGGAGATCAGCAGTCTGTCTCTGGGTTAATTGCATTATTTTATTTTTGTGTATATGTATATGTATTTAATTAAAACTAAGAAAAAGTTTCAAGTCAACTGCCTTGTTTCAATGCAGCCGCCTGCCTCGTCCGTCTGTACTCGTCTTACATCTCTCTTTGGCTGCAGATAATTTGCTAATGTCCTCCATAGAGAAAGTAAAATAAGTTACTTACTCTATGATGTCGTCTTCCCTTCAAGCACTCCCCACAGAATATCCCCCGGGGGGGTATTCTGCGACTTTGAATTAGGTTATGTTGTGGCAGCTATCCGAAATATTTGAGTCGCTTTGTTGATTAACAAGGTTTTTTGGCTGCAACGGGACGCTTTGCGAAGTCTCAACTATATGGTCAGCGCAGTCCCCAGGACTATGAGCTCTTTGATGATGGACTACGAGTTCAAGATGAAAACGCAAACGGAGCGCGTTAAAGTCGAAGATCTGTTCGACTACGAGGGTTGTAAGGTGGGACGCGGTACTTATGGACATGTCTACAAGGGACGACGGAAGGACGGTTCGGATAGTCGGGACTACGCCCTGAAGCAGATAGAAGGCACGGGACTCTCGATGAGCGCCTGCCGTGAGATCGCAGTAAGTCTTTGCACAAAATTTCAATCCCCCGAAGCATTCTGTCCTTTTGCAGCTGCTCAGAGAGTTAAAACATCCAAATGTGATCAACCTGGTGCGAGTGTTCCTGTCGCACAACGATCGCAAGGTGTGGCTGATGTTCGATTTTGCGGAACACGACCTTTGGCATATTATCAAGTTCCACCGGGCGGCCAAAGCCAATAAGAAGCCTGTGATGGTGCCGAAAGGGATGGTGAAATCGCTCCTGTATCAGATACTGGACGGAATTCACTATCTGCACTCCAACTGGGTGCTGCACCGTGATCTTAAGCCGGCGAACATACTGGTAATGGGCGAGGGGCCCGAACGGGGCCGCGTTAAAATCGCCGACATGGGCTTCGCGCGCCTGTTCAACGCCCCGTTGAAGCCGCTGGCCGACTTGGATCCTGTGGTGGTCACCTTTTGGTACCGCGCCCCCGAGCTACTTCTTGGCGCCCGCCACTACACCAAAGCCATTGGTAGGGGCTGCAGATCTAAACCGAGCGCAGCGGATATATTGAGCGGATGCTGTTGCAGATATTTGGGCCATTGGCTGCATTTTCGCAGAGCTTTTGACATCCGAGCCGATCTTTCATTGCCGACAGGAGGACATCAAAACCAGCAACCCGTACCATCACGACCAGCTCGATCGGATCTTCAACGTAATGGGCTTCCCGCACGAGAAAGACTGGGAGGACATTAAGAAAATGCCCGAGCACCCCACCCTGCTCAAGGACTTCAAGAAATCCAAGTAGGGCGAAGCCCCTCGCGGTCTGAGACCGAGCTAATTTTGTTTGGTTGTCTCTCAGCTACCTCAGTTGCTCGTTGGTCAAGTACATGGAGCGGCACAAGATCAAGCCAGAGAGCAAAGCCTTCCACTTACTGCAGAAGCTGCTACTGATGGACCCCAACAAGCGCATCACATCCGAACAGGCCATGCAAGACGGGTACTTCTCTGAGGACCCGCTCCCCACCCAAGATGTCTTTGCAGGTATTTCATTTAACAACCACAATTACTTGCAACTACGACCAATTGCTTGCAGGGTGCCCCATTCCCTACCCGAAGCGCGAATTTCTAACAGACGACGACCAGGAGGAAAAATCCGATAACAAGCAGCGCCAGAACCAACAACAACAACAGCAGCAGCAACAGCAACAACAGCAGCAAGCCCCGCAGCAACAGCAGCCACAAGGACAACAGCAACAGTCCAATCAACAGGACCAGCATCCGGCCAAGCGGGTGCGGCTCACGGGCCCGCAGGGCCATCCGGGGCAGGTGAGCCGGGCGCAGCTCCACTCGACCTCGGGCCCCAATTCCATTCGTTTGTTGCAGCAAATGCCCATCTCGCAGCAACAGCAGCAAGACTTCCATCAGCAACAGATGATGTTCAACAACAGCCAGCAACAACAACAGCAAAACTACCAGCAGCGATTTTAAAATGTACATTTAAAAAAACCACAGATTCATAATTCAGATTAGATTATTTTAATAGTTCTTATTATGGATATGCATTAAACAAACAAGGGTTTGTTTCATCTACATACCAAACAGAGCAAACATTCAAAAATTACGCGGCTGGTCCAGAGTTGGAATTGGGTCCGCGCCTACGTCCAAAGGAGGCAACAACATTCACGAATCGCCTGTTGTACTGGATGCGCCTCTTGGCCCTGCCGGTCCTCTTCTTTTTCTTCTCCTGCTTTTCCACTTTGGGGGTCTGGCCCTTGACTTTGCCTGCAACCGCAACCTGTGAAACCCGGCACCCCACAAACTAACCAATTCCTCTTACCAGCACGTGCAAGGGATCCGTGCACTTTACCACCAGGAAGGCCGACAGTCAACTCGATCTCCCCGTTCTGAAGCTCGGCCACAGCGGCGTCATCGTCCAGCGGGCTTCCGGCCAAGTACAGGCTGATTTCACTGGTCTGGAGCCCTTCGAGAGCCGCGAGGCGCTCCTGTAAAACCCCATTATTATTATTCTGATCACCTTGCAGACGGGTGGTTAGGGATTACCTTAATTTGACCGATGTTTTCATCGTCTTGGCACTCGAGAGCGTGACTTTTCAAGCCGCGGAACAACAGTTGCATTTTGAGGGGGTTTGCTAGACACGCTGCAAGCACAGTGTTAGGTTAGGTAGAGCACGTTGTTGTTGAAAAGGGGGCTACTGGATGGGGGATTTCAGCGGTGAAGAGTTCAGGGCTCGGATTGTGAATGTTGCGACCGGGTAAGTGGAAATTTACTTTAAATACGCAAACACTTGTACTTACTTGCAATCACTTTGATAAGCACGTCACGAAAGAGCGTCTTGGCGAAAAAATGGCCGCATTTGTGTCAAAAGTCAAAGTCAGGTAGCACCAGTGCTGCCAATGCTTTTCGATTTTTTCCCAATGCAACCATGAAAATTTGTTCAGTTTTTAGTCAACAGATTTATTTAAAAAAAATCAATTTTCTTCAGTAGAAAAATTATGTTAAGCCGACTCCGGCCTTGTAGATAGTTTGCAAAAAATACTGCAGAAAAACACTAACGAACATATCGAAAAATCATTTTATTTTTATATAAATTTCACGTAGCTTTGTGGCTTGCATACTTGAAACCCTAACATACATGCTTTGCGGTTGATGCCGCTCCCATAAATAGCTCAATAACAAATAGTCGAGCTACAGTTACAATGCAGGCCCACCATCGCTCTATAAATGCCTCACAATAATAAAGGTTAATTTAAACAAGTAAATAAAGAAAACGAATATCACATTTCTTATTAGAGTAGTTCTTTCAGATTCTGAATGGACTTTCTGATCAGATCCTGTTGAGTGCGGGCGTGTTTTACTTCCAGCTCAGCCAACTCAATCAAACTGGCAAAACAAAACAGGTAAAAGTAATTCGAGTAACTTTTTTAAATCGACTTGCCTTTTCCTGAACGCATGCAACCTTCGGGTTTTAAAATCTAACAACTCTTCTTTGGCTTGGGCAGAAATGGCTTCGAACTGTTCGCAGGCGACTGACTGGGCTTCTTCGGCCTTCAAATAATAAGTTTGTTTTAGAAATGTTTCCGACCGAAAGCAAGCAAAATTAAAGCAAATTTGTATCAGTAAATAAATACCTCATGGACCTCAGGCGGCTGCGACAAAATACGATTTTGTTATTGATAATTGCCCACTACAAAACTATCCAAACTAGGACTCGGAATTTTAAAAAATCTGATATTCGAATATTCGTTTAGTGGTTTATTCGAATCGTAAAATTATTAGTATTTGAGTATTCGAATATTCGAGTATTTCTATTCGTTTTCGTTAGATATTCGAGTGTTCGTTTTCCGTTCACCATTTTCCAAGAAAAATCGTTATCTCATATCATTTTTGGCAGCTAGCCGCAACGGATAAAAAAGTGCCTTTATCGGCACATTAATTGTAACACCGCGCAAAAGTTGATGACGCGAATCACCAGAACACAGAGACGTAATTTTACATTCATTTGCAGGAGAGTAAATATGATTATTTTCATTTGCTTGTAAATATACGGGTATTTATTTAAATGCTTGTAGAATATGAATAATTTATTTTATAAAAGTATACAAAGTGCATATAAAGATATTTGCACCTTGTGAGTTTGATAATGTTGGTGTATTCTAGTATTCGGATATTATTCGAATTATGACTACACATAATTATTCGCTTTTCGAATATTCGAATATTCGAATACTCGAATTATTCGAGTTTGATTCCGAGCCCTAATCCAAACACAAACACTTACTGCATGAATGTCCTTGTTTTTATGCCGCGCCTTCTCCAAGGCTCTGTTAGCGTTTTCGTAGTTCGCCAGGCATTTCAGTCTCCGAACCAGCAGAGATTTTGCCGCCTGGCTATCGCGCATATAATAGCGTAAAGTGTCTGCCAGCTTCAGGTCCTGGTCACTGGCCACCCGGCTTTCCACCTTCTAAAACGCCGTTCAGATTATTTTCGCTCTAGGAAAAATCTTGCAAGAATACATGCCCTGGTTTTTTCGAAAATGTCCGAAACCCGCGCGAAAAACTTATCCAAATGCCCATTATCGCTGTTGGCCAACTGCAGCAGACCCGATGAGATCTTTATGTAACTGTCTGCTAATTCTGTAAACAGAAGGAACATAGCAATTGTACACTGTCGACGATTTGTACAGGGTTTAGGTACGTTGGAAAGCATTTGATTCTAAGATTAATAGAAATGAAGTTACAGGCTTTTAATCATATCAGTCTGGCTGCATGTGTAGGTGTACCTTTGTGTTTTTCAGTCATGCGATCCGTCCGTCCGGTGGCGTCTCGCAGCTGAGTGTGGTATTCGGTCAAACTGACCATTTGCTGTTCGAAAAAGTCGTTCACATCCCGCACAGTAGCATTCAAATAGTACTGATCGGTGGTGCTGCCCAGAGATTTGACCAGACCGCCCAACTGTTGCAACTTCCCTTTGGGGCGAGCGCACAGATCCTGGTCGTACTCCAGGAAAACGTGCAAGTGCGAGTCCTCCCGAAACACCGAGTGGCAGGCGAGGCGCGTGAGGAACACTTCGTGCATAGCCACGGTTTTCTTGAAAGTGGCCAAATATTCCCTAAAGTCAATTTTGCAATTGAACACTGTGGCAGTGATTGAAACATTTTCTCTTACGCTTCAAGCTCCTGCTTCATTTTCGTGAACTCCTCTTTGGTCATGGTTCCTTCTCCTTCTCCCAAACGCTGCAATTTCTCTCTGGAAGCGTCGAAATTAGGCCGAGGTGGTGGCGGCGGAATCTGAATCAAGAGCGGTTAGCTCAGTGTCAGATGGTTCCAAAATAGCAGAAGGACACATAAACTTACAATGTATCCAGCGTACTTCGGTTCTTCCTCAAAGCGGTCGTGCAGCCAAATAAACTCTTCGTGCTGCCGAACCACCAAAAACTCCAGCTTTTGGAAGTTATTCATGGTAGTGCGAGTGTGAACAGTGAACTTTACTTTGTCCTTCTCACTGAGAGCATCTGAAATATCCACCACTAAACTGTTGTCCGTTAGGGGCACCATTTTATCCTCTTCTGCCTGAAAAGTGAAAACTAAGTAACAGTGTTGGATGAGAATGAGGTGATACTGTTTAGAAAGATGGAATTAACCAAATTGACTCCAGAAGAAGCCGTATAAGTAAGGGATTAGTGGCATCGTGGCTTAAAAAATTGGAAGCTCATGCCAATTCACGCCCCCCAAAATATGTGAATTAGTTTGATGGAACTCTACCATTTTTTTCGAATTCTTTGGGCACTACTGGAACATGGAACCTGAATCCACCTGAAGCACCGATTAAAGTGATCGCCACAAGCAATTCCGGAAAAGTTGTTTTAAGAAAAAGACACGATTACTGAATACAACAACAAAGTAAACGTCGTAAACGTACAAACCATTGACATAATATAACAAAAGTGGGATAGACGTTGACAGCATATTGTCGACGTATCAACCTTGTGTGTGTGAGCGTAACAGAGCATCTTGGAGGGATGCAATCCGTGCTCAACTTATTTGTATTTGAAATTACACAGATTTCTTTGTTTATGCAAAAATTACTCGAAAATGGAGGTTCAGTTTTTCAACAACCGTTTATTTTGTACTTTTCATGTTACACTTTTTTGCTCTTTTTCTTGGGGGACTCGTCGTCCTCACTAGCATTGCTCTCCTCACTCTGTGAGCTGCTGCTTGATCCTTCCGACTTCCTTTTCCTGCCCTTTTTTTCCTCCTTGGCTTCCTCCTCATCGCTGGCAATTTTCAAGTTGCCCAGTTTCTCCTCGTAGTTGGACACGTTCTTCTTGATCTTGCTGGCTTCGGGACTGTACGCCCACAGAACCAACTCCATGTGCTCTTTAGTAGGCAGATCCTGATCGTCCCACAAATCAATGGACGAAGTCGGAATGGTTTTCAACTGTTTGTTGCGGACAATGTCCCACGTTGGCTCCCCGTCCCCACTGGAGATTGTGCGTAAGTTTTTATACTCGCCCTTGGCTTCCTCCGAGTAGGCTTTAAGGAAACGCTCAGCCAACTCATCCTTGAGTTCATACTTGTCTTTGAGGGGCAAAAGAGCCTTAACTGAGAGCACAGGTAAATAGGGCCTGTTCTCTTTGGCTAGGTTGTTGCTCTCGAAATCCTTAAGCCATTGCTCGAAGACGCTGATGGCATCGGTAATGTTTTGCAGCTTGTCCTTGTCCTTGGTCACTGAAAACCAACATTAACAGTTCAGGAAAACTCAAAGAATCAAATTGGATGCATGAGCTTACAAGTCAATGTTCGTTTGGCTCTACCAATCAAGCCTTTGATGGCCAACTTTTGGTAGTCCGGATCGCGGCCCTCCAGGTTCTTGAGCGTTTCCTGAGCCTTTTCTTGGTCCTTAAATCCCAGCCCGGGTACGGTGTCCGGCTTGTCTGACATGTTTACTGTTTGGTGACCTAAAACAACAATTCGTCCATAATACAAGAACTCTGGCGATTATTTTTGCGGCTTTCAGCCAGTGGCATATGCAATGATGACAAGTGCATCAGCGTTAAATTTGCCAAAAATTGACTCAGAATTGCTCAGCCCAGAAAATCGCTTAGAATAACGGCAAAAGAGGGCTAAATAACTGAACTTACTTTAGTGGAAATTGCAAAAATCAAATCGTCCACTTGCTGCTGGTACGCCGAAACTAAAAAACTAACGTTTGTAAATTTTATTTTCTATTCTCGGATTTCGGCAGTATTTTCACGGAAGCGGCCACGAACAATTAACGATTTTACTGCTATCAATCGTGTGCGATTACGGTTGGCCGCTTCCCACATAACGCGAACGAAGGATGATACCATTTCCCAAACAAGCCGGTTACGTCACATTGTTTTCAGCATTAAGAATCCCAGTTTTATGTGTTTTAGAAATAGTTTTACAGATTCTACAGCCGAAAGTTCTTGAAAAATGCCTCCAAAATTTAGCGCCGCGATTTCAACACAATACAAGGATTTCCTCAAGTGAAATAAATGCGCCTGCTCCAGCTTATGGTCTTTCGATAGGGCTAATGAGCTAAATTTTAGCGTTGTATACACAATTAAAATAATATACCATTTAGATGAACGTATCTTAAAGAAACTGGGAATTTTTCGGCGTTGGAGTTCTTAAGGCTGCTTCTGGCAAACAGCTGAATAATTCATAGCTTGGCTATTTACCTTATTCTCGTCCCTGATGTTCTATGTCCCTGTTCTTGTAGGATTGTCACGCAATATAAATAGCAAATCGACCTCATAAATCGATTGTTCTGCTTGCCTATAAGTATACCCGATCTGGCACAACTCGGCATGGAAAAAAGAGGGGTAATTCTTTTAGGTGGGGCCCCTTTGGCTTTCGACAATAAAATAGCACGCGGATCCAGCTTTCAAGTCAGGGGGGGCTCATGTAGTAGAAGTTCAGTCTTTTGTTGTCTATGAAATTATAAAAAATCTTTAGTCGATATAAACCCAGCACAAGGGGGGCCATGACCCCCCCCCCCTGGATCAGCCCTTGTTTAAAACTCTGTAACTTCGCAACTGGGGCAAGTAGCAACTTTCCCAATCGTTAGAACACAGTTCCCTCTATGCACGTTGAGATTTTCATGAAAATGCCATAAAATCTCGATTTTCACCAGCCAAGTAAAGATTGGGATCGGGTGTTTGTAGTCAGCTGCGCCTTCTGCTATAAAACTCTTTAACTTTGCAACTGTGGCAAGTAGCAACTTGAAACTTTCCCAGTCCTTAGAATATGGTTCACTCTACAAACGCTGACATTTGCATGAAAATGCCACAAAATCCGGATTTTCTCCAGCTGAGTAAAGTTTGGGATCGGGTGTTTTCAGCCAGCTGCGCCTTCTGCTTTAAAACTCTGTAACTTCGCAACTGAGGCAAGAAGCAAATTGAAACTTTCCCAATCCTTAGAAGACAGCTTACTCTACAAACGGTGAAATTTGTATGAAAATGCCACAACATCCCGATTTTTACCAGCTGAGTAAAGTTCAATTCTGGTCGAAATAAAAAAGTTGATTTCGTTACGGTGCTCTATTTATCATTCAGATTCCATACACAAGGTCTGCATAGAAGCAAATAATAATTCTAGTGTTCGGCCGGATGGTGAACATATCGGCTGCCCACGATAAGAATGGTCCAATAAACGGCAGAAAACAGCGAAAACAGGACCGGGAATACGATCCTGGAAATCCTGTCGATTTCCTGCCACGTTATTTTGACTTTCCCTTTGTCCTAAAACCGGTACACATGTTAACATTAGATGCACAACGATGCGTAAAAATAGCTGGATATTTTTAGCGACAACTCGCTGTTTTCATGCACTCACTGTTTTCCAGTAAAGGGTCAACCATCCGGATTTGCCGATTGTTGAATTGCGTTTTTTCGCGCTGATTTCGTTGGTCCAGGGCGTGATTGCGGTCACCTGAAAATCATTTTCCGTAGGCAAATACGCACTGGACAGTACAGTTTGTGCCCACCATTACGCGTTCAGCTTCCTTTTGCTTCAGCAGAGAGTATTTTCCTTGCAGCACCTTGACGATCACAAACTCTCCCAGAGAGGCAAACACAAAAACCATGCAGCCGGCCATCCACAAGTCCAACGCCTAAAAAACCACCACTGCAGTTACAGAGTTAACCGCAGCTATTAGCTTCCGTGCACCTTAACATAGGCTACAGCAGGGATATCGGTTCGCAGGCCTGTAAACATCGTGACCAGTGTGAGAAGACAAGTAACCAGCAAAGTAACCCTGGCTGGAATGGCATCTAGGTCTAGCCAAAAGCTAAACCAAGACAGTACCACCACCAAGGTCGAGGGGGCAAAGGTCTGGATGAGATGGTGGCCGATTTGCCGCTCAAACTTCAGCAGCACCACCAATCTAGAAAAGTTGCCTGCAGATCGTCAATGAATAAGTGCGTATAAGTTTTGCGAAGCACCGTTTTTCTCTGCCGTAAAGGCGGTCCTTTCGTACAACTGCAGCGGTTGTAGAATGTTGTACTGCAACAACTTCAGCTCGGGACTGATGGTGACGCCGGGTTCGGACCACCGCAGGAGCATCTTCTTGTTGTTGTACGAAACTGGAACAGCAACAACAGGACATTAAGGGTCGTTAATTGTCCAGCCCCAAACGTACAACTTTCCACGGACACTGGACACACCTGGGTGTCCATGGGATAGTGGTAGAACTCCATCTGGCAAGCCACGATGGCGTGCATGCGGGCCGAGTACCGGATTGTTTTATTCCGGTAGAGAGTCACCGAAGAAAACTTGTGGGTCAAGGTGGCTATTTCTGCATGTTGGTTGAAAGTGAGCGACCACAAGGTATACGAGGATGATGGAATGCGACTCACCCACCACTTTGGAACTCAAGAAGTAGAGATCGGGCTGCCAGAGGCTGTCGAAGAACTGCGACGGCAATGTTATGGAGTCGTCCCGGTATTCGAACATTTCCTGCGGGATTCGGATCCGCGCGTCCGTCCACTGTTGCTTCAGAAACATGTCCATCCTGGAGATCAGACAGTGTTAAATACTCTTAAGTGGTATTTTGTTACCTAAAATCCATGTCTTCGACGTTTATTGAGTTGATGTCGACCACCCGCATGCTAAAGTCCACGACGATGGGTTCCCCCTGCAGTGTTGGCGGCCGAATCTCTGCACAAAAAAGAGCATTTACCAGCTGAATAAATCGTCACCTGTGTGCTTGTGGTACCCCGTATGTAGTCGTCTTCAATGATGGATTTGCTCAAGTTGTGACTGTCGGGGTTTCGTGGTTTTGGAACAACGCCGGAGCACCGAAGCATCAGCAGCCTAAACAATTCTTAGAATAAGTAGCTGCTACAACTTAGTTTACGAATTGCGCTTACCAGTAAAAAATCGCCTGGAAGAGATACATAGTTGACACTGGTTGTTGCACTGACCATTCAAAAAGCAGCGGCATTTTCCAGTTAAAACACCAAATTTAAGATGGGAACAATGCAATTACTTGGTCATCAGCAGCAATTAAATACAGAGCAATAAGTGAGACAATAACTGGTTTCCGTTCCCCAATTGATTAATTCCGCGCTCTCCACTGGATCTTCACTGGATTCGAAAAAATATGTTGTTTTCTCCCGGGTCAGTCAAGACTATTTGCGGCGGACAATAATGGATCATTCCCCCATAGGGGCCATTCGTCAGCCCTCATTTCTGGCAAAAAACAAGCTCCAAGGAACTGTCCCGTTCCTTAACAAAGCCAGTTATCAGTCAGATATAAAAAGAATGTCCAGTCGAACTTGAGCCATCATTTGCGCGCAATTTCCCATAACAAAGAGCCGCCTCCACAACCCTCCAGAAAAATATGGTAAGGGTGACTGAAAATTGCCTCATAGGCACAAGTTTTGCAGTTTTTGCCTCCAAGTTTCAGCGCCAACAACTGACCATGGTTCTGTGCCTACTAATGATCCTGATGGGAAAACACTTGGCCAAATCATCTTTCGACACGTGCATTACGTAAGTAACAATTTATTATCAAATACACAGGCTAAGAGAAGCGTGCTCACTCTCATTTGCGGAAAACTGCGATTTAGAATACGAATCTCTCGTCCACTAAACTCGTCTGCTTCTTAGTTGGTTAAACAAAATTAAAAAAAATAAAAAATGAAAAATAAAAAAAAATAAAAAATAAAAAAAATAAAAAATTAAAGTTGTCATCTTCCGCTTCTCTCTTTCTCTTTACTATTCTTCTCTTCTCTCTTGCTCGTTCGCCAGTAGTTCTCTTTGCGTCCCAAAATCGGACGGGGAAATGGTGCTTTGGTTCCCAATATTGGTCGAGGGCCTGCGGGCGTTGAAAGCTGTCGCACTGATCGCCTGGAGTACCTGCAATTTTCCCCGAGTTTTCACGTAAATCTATGTGAGTTTAGTGCAGAGTTGATCTACCTGGAGAGGGTGAGGATGTGGCCGAGTTGCTGTCCGCTTTGGAGGGCGACGTAAAGAGGTGGGCATCCGGGTTCAGCTTGCACGGGATCGACTTCTAAGAGCACACGCTGATTGACATCGCACAAATGACAACGTTTTCCCGATAACCATGGAAATTTGCTAGGGTTCCTGGGCTCTTCTGAGGGCTGCAATTCCCTAGCAACAGGAACTGTTTGTTTCAGGAACTGTGTGCAGTGCAAACAGATGTACGGGCATCGATTCGCAGGGAAAATGTGTGGCGACACCTGCATAGCCAGCAACGGGGAGTTTTTGCTGGATTGCAACAATCCAGGAATGATCCATGACTACCTGAAGCGCCTCTATAAAAAATAGCGATTCACTCGACGTCTGCACTCGCGAAATTAGTCGTAGGACACGGTGCGATTCAAGGCAAATCCCCCGGTCTCTTTCGCTGCTGATAAACCTACGAAGCACTGTTGCATTGTTTTATTCTCCTTTCTCCTACAACCCTGATGAAGTCGCAAAAAATGAGAAAGTTCACAAGATTTATGTGTAAAATACGAACTTTATTTGATAAATTGATACCGTACCTACAAAGCCCTTAAATCTGGCGCAGCAAATGAAAAAATTACCTTTACTATTAGTTAACTTTAGAACTTAAAGACACGCCGCTATCGTAAATAGTATTTACAAGTTGTCGGCAAAAATACCCAGAAAATCAGCCACCCGAACATGTTTAGCTCCGGTTTCAGTTAACAATCTGGAGCACTTTTGCCGAGCCCTGCAGTACTAGAATTGTCCATCGGGTGGGGCGGAATCCTGCAAAAATTTACGAAATGGATAATAATACGCCTGACCTTTCCTGGTGTTGGTTGTCTATACCTTGTTTTCTCTATGTATGTAGTGGGGAATGAAGGGATTCGGCACTTGGGGTACCAGTGGGGGGATGGCGCCCAGTTCGCTAAAGTGGGACAGCTGCTCAGTTAGCTCAATGGTGCCCTGTTCTACCACAGTGAGAATCACCCACATCGGATCTAAACACAAAGCATAGCAAGTCATTTCCCTTTCAAACAGAGGCACGGGTAAACCTTTACTGGTGTGTAAATGCATAAATCGCATACCTCCAAAATAAGAACCTGCCGGCGTGCACGCCCTCCATTTACTCTGGTAGATTCCAGGCATGGGGGGACTCTGCATCGCAACAATCACATAAGTGCTCTGGCCAGGCTGTAGGGCTGGCAGGTATACTCGTTCGGCCCCAAAAGTATCACCATCGGAACACTGGATGTAGCAGCCGACTGGCCAGCTCTCCGTCCCCGAATTGCTGATATGCCAGGCCTTTTGGAACCTAAATTGTGTGCAATGTGTAATCGACGTTAGACTAGGCAAACTGGCACGGCTCTTACTGGGTGTTTGGCTCAATGTTTTCCGTCTCGGAGGCATCTGGATCGGACACTAAGGCCATCAATGGCAGTGTGTTGGGGGCCTCCACGTCGAGATAGGAGCAAATCGCCGCCTGCAAGTTCCTGTTTGCAGAACAAAGACAGATGTTATTCCGCATAATAGGGGGACAAAGTCTGTCGACTCACCAGTTGTTCATGTCCAAGAAAAATGCAGCCGTTGAGTAATTGAGATGCGTTGGACTGCCCAAAAGCTTCTGAAGCTGTTGTACAAGTTCATCCTTGTCAGTTGTTCCTAAACAACTGAACTGTTGCAACAGAGACTGTTCTATGTCCATGGAGCCGCTCACGCCTCCTCCATCTCCATTGTCCACATCCATTGTAAGCTAGTAGGAAAGAGGTCAATTCCAAATATACTATAATTAGGTTATTCTGGAAACAGTGGAAATAAGGCACAGGCCTGGTTTGGGTTGTTCATTTACATTAAGGAACCAGGGCACAAATAGCGCTGCATTCGCAAGGAACAACGAATGCAAGAATCTGTATTGCTACGGAACGTCAACCAAACTATTTGGACAATAATTTTAGACCAAAAGTCCATTGTATACAATGGGATTATTTTGTATTGGAAAAAATGTGCACTTTCAGTCCAACGTTGGAACCATCGGGTAAAGAGCTGCAATAACTTACCTGCTAAATTAAGTAAGGAATAAATGCACTTTTTCCTAATTAGCAACAAATTTTGGACATTATCAATCAAAAACAAATCACAGATGTTCGATCGACAACTTTGGCACGTGAAATGAATGACATGACTTCGTTGACACGACTGAGATGTATGGTTAAAGACAGTGATTTTCAAAATTTTTATTAAACTAATCCGTTTGTATAAAAACGGTAATTGTCTTATAGCATGTTGACTAAAGTCCGCCAAGTTTTAGCAAAAAATGAAACAATCTCATTAAAAGCCATTTTTTTTGCGTGACCATATCCATGTCACTGTCAAGAGTGTCAAGTCAGGTTTATTAGTTGATTACTGAATGTCATCTGATTACTATTATTGTTGAAGATGGCGGATTTATTGGCCGTGCCGTTAAAACGGCCCAGTGATGTTGATGTGATTAATCCATTGAAAAACCTCATACAATCGCGGTACAGCACAGCAGACAATCCGGAAAACTGCACGGAAGCGGTGAACGAGTTTTCCAAGTTGCGAAACAATGCCATTTGGAAGGCTTTCGAGAAGTACGAAAGCTCTTTGGAGATTATTTATGGGTATGATTCACGATTTAATTGAGTTGGGACGTGATTCATTAAAGAGGACGATTCTTTGTGCAGATATTACGATCAACTAGTGGCGTTGGAAGGTAAAATTCCATCTCAAGAACTGCAAGTGCCGTTCAAATGGAAGGATGCTTTTGACCGTGGCAACATTTTCGGCCACAAAGCCAGCCTGAGTAAGTTTTTCAAGTCGATTGCGCCCATTTTATGTATTTATATGTTTTGTTATACTTTAATTCAAAATGTTCATTTATTTCAGCCGTTGCCTCGCTCAGCTATGAAAAAGTATGTGTGCTATTCAATATAGCCGCCCTGCAGAGCTCGGTAGCTGCCGAACAGAGCGTGGAGAATGATGACGGTCTTAAACTGGCTGCTAAGTTGCTACAGGTAAGAATACAATGTCTTTAAAACATCTCTTTATAATTTATGTTCTCTTAGCAAGCTGCAGGGATATTCAGCTACTTGAAATCGACCGTGATGCTGTCGATTCAACAGGATCCCACTCCAGATTTGAATCCTGACACCTTAGGAGCGCTGTCGCAGCTGATGCTGGCTCAAGCACAGGAGATGTTTGTCCTTAAAGCTATACACGGTCAGTTTTGCTCCACTCCACATCGAACTTTTTGCAGTATAATTGGTTCTTTCAGATAACATGAAGAGCTCAATTGTGGCGAAACTGGCTGCGCAAGCCGACGATCTGTACGCCGAGTGTTTGAAGACATTCCAAAGAGAAAACCTGAGGTCCATGTGGGATAAGGAGTGGATTCCGATGGTGAGTTGAATGAATCGAGTTTTTCAAGTCTGTGTTCTACTTCGGTTGGCTCCACTGTAGATTGGTGGCAAACAGGCGGCATTTTCAGCAGTAGCTGAATTCCAGCAGAGCCTGGTGGCCCGAGAGCGGAAATCAGTTGGTGAAGAAATCACCAGGTTGCGGGTGAGTTCAGGCTTTTTTCAACTCCCACCCAAATAAAACCACGACTGTTTCAGACAGCAGTAGAGAAGTTTACGGCGGCCCAGTCGCGGTCTGGAAAGAGCGTGTTCAGCGACATGCTGAATAAGGCCCAGCGCAATTTGGCTGAAGTGGAAAAGGACAACGATTTTATCTATCATGAAAGGGTGCCAGACTACCGGTCTCTAGAAGCGATTGGCAAAGCGCCGCTGGCCAAATCTTTACCGTTGGCGGAGAAAATGTCGCAAAATTTTACAGGTAATCGATGTTGGGTGGCAGGCTTGCACCGGGTTTAACCAATACGGTTTCCAGATCTTTTCTCCACTCTGGTGCCAGTTGCCGTCCACCAAGCGTTGGCTTCATATGATTTGCGCAAAACCGAGATTGTCAACACGGAAATTTCCAAGCTGCGCGAATCCACGCAGGAACTCAACGGGTAAATTGACTTCATTTTGGAGTTTGTTGCCCAAGGTTACTAATGGGTGGATTTCAGAATCTTGGCGAGTTTGAACCTGCCGGCAGCGATCGAAGTGACCGATTCCAGCACTGGGCTGCCGCCGTCCATTCTGGAGAAGGCTCAAACGGTGTCTGGACTAGGGGGCATCGACACGCTCAAAAGAATGATCGAGGAATTGCCCGAGTCGCTGAAGCGAAACCAGGACATAATCGATGAAACTGACCGGTAAATGCTACAGGTAGTGGTTGATTTTTTTAACTGGTGATTTGGCAGGATGTTGAATGAGGAGAAAGCGGCGGATGACGCTTTAAGACAACAGTTTAAGGACCGATGGACTAGAACACCCTCAGAAAAACTGACTGAAATGTTCAGGTCGAATTCGGGCAAATACAGGCAGATAATTAACAATGCTGTGGAGGTACATTTACCACAGCTTTTTTAGTACCGTTGCCAATGATTACCTTTAGGCAGATAAACTGGTGCAGAACAAATTCAACACCCACAAGCCAATGATCGAGCTGCTGAGCAAACCTCTGAATGATCTGGAGACATCGTTGCCCAGTGGAAATGGCGGAGACGTTCAAAATTCGTCTGCGGTCGGCACTCTGAGATCCCTGATGGAGGAGGTAAGCAACTTTGCGGGCCAAATTTCTTCGGGCCCGGTTCTGATCGGAATATGTCCAGGTGGAAACCATCAAGGCAGAGCGCGACAGCATCGAGTCCGAACTGAAAAGTGCCACCACCGACATGAAGGACAAATTCCTGCTGGCGCTTGCCAAAGATGGCCAAATCAACGAGCCGCCTCTATCTTATCAGGCCCTGGGGCAAGCGTACGGCTCTTTGCAGAAGCAGGTAGCTGAAAGCCTGGCAAAACAGAAGGGGCTAGTTGACCGGATCAGGGTGAGTGTCGCTTGAATTGGTTATTTATGACACTGATTGCAATAAGCTGTTTGATTTCAGGCAGCACATCAGCAGTTTGTCGCTGAGCGGGGATCTACAGTGGGTGGGCGCGAAGCTATGATGTGTCAGCTGGCTGCAGCTCACGACGTGTTCCGCGATTTGCTGAACAACCTCAAAGAAGGCACAAAGTTCTACAATGACTTAACGCAGGTAACGAGTCCAGATGGTCATTGGTAGTGGTGTAAATGCGCTTGTTTAGTTGCTGGTGACTTTCCAAAATAAAGTCAACGACTTTTGCTTCGCGAGGAAAACCGAGAAGGAGGAGCTCATGAAGGATTTGACTCAAGAGAGCAGCCGAACTGCTCCGGCCGTTCCTCCGTCCACGCCCAGTTATTATTCAGGTATGCATCCAAGATGGGCCTGGGTAACACTGTGTTGAGTTCCCTTTTTGAGTTGTTGTCGGTCTCTGAGTTAATGAGTTTTAACTCATTGTTTAATGAGTTATAACTCATGGCCGGTGGCGGAATTTTAGCATCTAACAGAAAAAAGACATCATCATATTGCTGTTGCGCATACGATTGCTTGAAATTTGGTCCAAAACGGGAAAATCCGGAGATTTTGAAGAAACTTAAAAACATTTTCAGAGCGATGAGGATGACGCGTTTTCCAAATATTGATTATATGCTTTTGCTTCCTCGACACGAGACGATAAAGAAGACCAAACTGTAAAGACAACTTTTCTTGTAAAATCCATCTTTAAATTTTTTTTGCATAAAAGTCTCAGTTTGCCAGTATTTTACAGTCAAACGTTAGGAAAAACGCGTTATTCTGTTTAGAGATAGTTTTGTTTAGAAATATTGACCTAAAAGTGAAGAAACCGGAATTTACATAAACCAAATTATTCACAGCGACAAAAGTGACGAGTTTTTCGAATTATTGATTATAAATTTTCACTTGTTCTGCTCGGGGAAAAAGTCCAGGAAAAAATATTAGGGTTTTGTCCGAAATTCGAAGCTGCGAAAGGTTACAGAAAAAAATGTACAAAGCTGTTCAGAAGCCGCGTGTTCCAAGTAAATTTATTTTATAATTTTCACAGAAATTACCTGAATATTGTCAGTATTTTAAATAAAACCAATCTCTTTTTTTCTTGCTAAAATTGGAATGACTTGAACATTTAAAGAAACTTGAAAAATCTTCAGAGCGTATTGCGTAGGGGAGATTCCGAGAAACCAAAACATTCACCAATAGACGATGACGCGGGTTAATCATTTATTTATTAATTGTTAAAATCCGTTCAACATTGGCTGATGAGTGAGGTACAATAAGCAGGTTACAAATAAAATTGGTTAAAATTGGAAACATGAATGTATCACCTCCATATTTCAATATTTGTACTTGGCTCCAAAACTCTTCAATATTTCCAGAAATTTTTTTAATTTCATTAACATTCGCAACAGACGTCATTCTGTGTCCAGGCCTTGTAATTCACTATCATTTACTAAATTTGGAAATATAATTGCAACATCAGAAATAGATTGTGGGGAACCTGATTTCACTATTGCAGGATCCATAAAACATAATTTTATCATATTTATGATCTATCTGGCGGGGTTGATTCATTTTATGTTTGAAAAAGAACTCTAAAATACGAGGTGTGCTAAAATAAAATGTCTGCTATTACCAACGTACTTTGATCATGAATGGAAATATGTTATATTATTTTAAGTAATCCACGGATAATTTTTTAAATTTTATTTGTTGCTTTTCGGTAGAAATCTGCATGGTATCGGTAGATCGGTAGGTTCCTTGACAAATCGGTAGATCTACCGAAAAATCGGTAGACCTGGCATCTCTGCCTACAATCAACTAACTGCGGTCTCGCTATGCGCGCCCATTTATCTCGGTAAAAATGGGGTTCCCCTGCAAAATACGCGCGCCCCTGCTATACACGCATATATTTATCAGCCAAAAGGGGTTCCCCAGTAATATGGGATTCCCGGGCACGACAAGCGATGAGGGTTGCGAATTTTCCAACTAATTTTTTCGGAAACGTTTTCCCTCTGGTCGTTTTTTTCAAGATAATCTTAATCACTTTCGATAAAAAAGTTAATACAATGGTATTTGGTTTTGGGCCAAATTCGAAGCCGAAAAGAGTTATCTAAAGTTCCCTGCAAACCGATGAATGAGGCGAATTTACTAGGAAAATTAATCATTGTCATTTTTGCTGAAATTGATAAATGTCCCTTAAAATAATATAAAATAAATCTAAAAACAAATCATCAACATTTTCTCAGCAACGGAACTGAGCTACTGCGCCGGTGGGTTGGGTTGGCGCACCAAGCCATTTGCGTGGCACTGCGCCAAGTCACAAGGGTCTAGGTATACGGCACGTCCTGTCACTTCTATCGATTGCGGCGATTCGAACCAATCAAATAAGCCTACCGGTTTGTTGTTATCAAACGTATCATTGACAAGTTCTACAAATGAGTTAAGACGATTTAAAGTTTGGTGGTTTTGTTTATTGTTTGATGATAATTCTTTTATAATTTCTCGAGATAAACAACCGCGAGTCCTCCGCGCCTCCTCCGATATTTTTTTTTTCATTCTCTCGTGCATTTCGAACCTTATATAAGCTCTAGATAAAAATGGCAATCAAATAGTATCGTACAGAAATTCATAGGTAAATTTGATACCCTCTTGGCTAGTAATTTTTCATTTTTTAAGAGGGATTTGAATTTATATTAGCACAAAGAAAGACAGTGATAATGATGAGTATTTCTTAATTTATAACAATTTACAAATGATTTATTCTGATCAGCTTAAATAGGTATTAGATTTTGTATTCGTAGTATTTAAGTAAGCAACTTAAACCATTAAATAAATCTCCTAAAAAGTTTGGTTTATAGTATAGTTGACAGTATATTGAATATCCTTACATACATCCATACATTTATATGGATAGTTTTCAAATTAGTAAATACATTCCATAGATTTATTTATCGGTAAAACTTATAATAAACATCACCCAAGGGGCAATAACAAGTAAGAGTGCTTATGACATTAAATACTAAAAATGTAATGAAAAAATGTAGTATTATTGTTAAAATTTCTGAGTACAAATCATAGTATTTTATACGCCTGATATAATGAAATGAATTCACATAGTACTACCTACTAAAAAGTCGAACTACGTTGTTGGTATTCCACTTTTGTTGGAATAGTGTAGAAAGGCAATTATTTTCATGTGTTGCTTAGTGTGACATGTTAAATAAAAAGTAAATGGAAAGAGAAGATACCAGCAATTCTTTTGCTTAATATTTCTTGACTCTTACAATAGTAATTTTATTTTTTCTCTTACTTAAATTAAAAAATCGTTGATAATTTGTTTTAATTAAATTTGCACATTGCACATAGGAAAATAACTTAGCCAACTATCTATTTGATCAATAATACATTTTTATTATTAAAACGCCCCATTTGGTGTACATAATATATAGAGTAACGTTAAAAAACAAATCGTTAAGTTCTACTAACTCAAACTTTATAAGTCCAATAATTTTATCAGTATTAATTAAGTTAACACAGTCCAACACTATATTAATAAAATCCAAAGAGTTTACGGTTACAACAAAATACCGGGAAAAAATCACCTAACCTTAAATCGTCTTAAATCATAACAAACCGCTAGGTTCGAATCGCCGCAATCGATAGAATTGACAAAAAGTGGCGTATACCTAGGCGCTTGTCGCCAAGTCCTAAAAATTCCAAGATGGTACCCAAACCGATACCATCTTGTGCTGAAATCTCAAAGATTGGTGACGTCAGACAATTTAGGCCAGTTTTGGGCCCGTAATTAAAATAGTTTGGCTTCTTCTCTACTTATACTTATGGCATCCCGGGTGTGTTCCAGTCTTTACTGAAATACTTGTGATCGGAAAATACGGAAAAATCAACCAATCAGCAAAATTAACAGGGAATAAAATCGAAACTAAAGTCCTGGTAATGGGAAATAAACTGGCCTACATGGGATGACGTCACTCGTAATCACTTGGACCTTGTTGTCTAAACGCATCATTGTGCAGATCCGAAACCAGACAATTCCGCGCCTGCAGCATCTGGAGGCGCTGCTCCTACGCCCGCAGGACCTGGACAAGTTCCCTCCAACTTGCCCTACCCTGTATACGTGCAGGGCATGCCTTTGCCCTACGGAACGGCCGCTAACGCTCCTTACCCGGTATACGTGCCTCCTCCAATGCCGCAGAGCTACAATCCGTATGGAACATGGCCAGGTAGGTAGGTAAGGGTAAAATGTTGGCAAAAAATATATCTGGTTGTATAGGAAACTACCAGAACTATCCTCCTGGCACTTACCCTCCAGGAACTTACCCACCAAATTCGCAGCAGCCAGGTTACCGGCCACCCTGGTAGTAGATTTCTCGGTGTTTATGGTAAGGAAATTTGAATTGTTTAATTGTTTTTCCAAACGAAATTTATTTTGCGGTTACTGTGCTGTCATGTTATAATTAATTAGTTAATAATCTGTAAATTTCAGCAGATTAGCAACCGATTGCCTTTGTTAATCTGTGTCTTTGTATTTTTGTAGTGACCATATATGCATTTTTATCCGACTGTAAGTTGTTATCAATTAATAAAGCTCTATTATACATAAATGATTGAAACTCACCGACTACATTTTGATGATTTATTTATATTTTCCATACAAATTATAAACATGATCTTTAAAATACTGTACAACATACAGAGCAAAAATTTTACTTATATACCGCGTGATATGGCATGTATAGATATGAATCAAAACTGCAAGTATCGACAGAATACGTGGGCAGAACCCTCGTAAGTTCGAATTTGGTCCGCCTTTATGCCGCTAGATTGTCGTAAATATTTGAGAAGAATGGAGCGGTTCCAATTAGCAGCAACAGGCGGCAAAACTTAGCAAATTTCTCTGCGAACCTTAGACAATAAACACAACACATACCCATCCGTGTAAAAGTCCGAACGAAAATCATATTCTGATTCATAGAAATATAGCGTAATATGTACAAGATTTACCTATTTACAATCTGACACAGCTTTGGGTCGTTATAAAATATATTTTTTAAGCTATTTATTGTTTAGAGAGTCTTTGTTTTCTGCATTAGTCCGTCGCTAACTCCGCTACAGCGACCGATTGTGTCGACTCGACTTTAATCTCCAAAAAAAGTTCCTAAAAGCAGTCTACCTTCATGGAAGATATTTGTACACTTAAAAGCTAGCAAAATCAAAACAATTCATAATCCAAATCTAAGAGATCAATCAATACATTGCAGCCTGTCGAAAGAGTTGACTATCTATTTTTTCCAATACAGCAGAGGGCTGTTGGTAGCAATCAGTTTTGGGCAGACAACCGGCCCGATATCGAATCGACTGCTGCCAGCTGCCTTCAAATTTGCAACTAAAAAGTGCACCAAGATAATTACGTCCAATTAAGTGCCCCTGTGTAAACTTGATAAATATTTCAAATATATATGTATAAATATAAAATGTTAAAAATTATCATCACAAATAGCAAACTCTTATCCTAAACGTAGATAAATTATTCACCTAAAATTAGATCAATTTGGAACTCGGGAAATTAATCCTAAATTGCCGCCGAATATTGCAAAGAGTATTTAGATTTTTCGACTAGGCACAACCTAATTGAAATATTGCTTAAACATAAAATAAATAATTGTATTCTCTATTGCAACGGCCGCATGTTCGATTTCGTTCCTTGGTGACTGCAAAATTTAAAAACTAACTCCTGTTATTTTTTACATTTAGAATGATATGAATGTTCCTCGAATCAGTATATTACACAGAATTGATCTATGTAAATGCAATGGAAATTGAATCGAACAGACAGTTGGTGATATTTATGAAAGGCTTTATCGGTTCTCATGGATTTTCAGTACATAAGTGCAAATCTAAATGTTTTCGGACGTATAGAAAAACTAATATCCACCCGACCGCAAACTAGACCAATGAATCCAAAATAAACGGAAATTATGGGTATTCACGTAAACAAAAGGAATTATTCTTCGCTCAGTTTCACCAGAAGCAATCTCGGTAGAGGAGCGCTAACAATGGACAAAAAATGAACAAAAATCAAACATTCCTTAGCTAGAGCTAACTTAACAGTATTGTAAGGGTGTAGGCACTGAAGTGAAATAATCCGCGAATCGTCTCGCATACAAGCTAGTCCTTCACCAGCCGGTAAATGTGGTGCTGGGCCCCATGTTCGCCTGTGGCGACCTCGAATACGTAGGCGGTGCACAGTAAGGTTTCCTGTGTGTCCCGATTACTTACCACCTGGAGAATTGTGAAATTCTCCAGTACACTGTTCATCATGTATTTTTCGGGCAGGTGCTTCAACTTGTGGATGAAGTTGATCATGTACTCGCACATGGGGCTGCGGTGTATTCGGTACACAAAGCGCCCGTTCTCGTAATGCGCGTACTCGGTCTCGACTTTTTCCACCACCTGCTTACCAAAGGAGCAGACTTTTGTCGAGCATGTGATGGTCATGTTCTCGTTGCTTTCGTATCTGCAACGAAACATTATATTAGAGATTCATTCGTTATCCCGGTCTAAATCAGCGCTGTTACTGCACTTACGAGCTGGTCACTCCGTAAAAGGCGCCAGCTTCGTCCTGGATGCTCGAGTTAAGGTCAGCCCAAAACTTAACCAGGAAGAACGCGGTTTGTGGGCCTTTATCATAAAGCTCTTTAAGCCCGCCCTTTTTCTCCGGAAACTTGTCGTAGATTTGTCGCACGTCCACCGCCTCCAGCAGGGGATCGGTGTAGGAGAGCGGCGTACCCCCTATGTGGACGAACAGGTGCTTTGGATACTGAAATACCCACAAAACAAATTGTGAAGCCAATCGAACAAACTGAATTCGGAATAAATGACTGAAACCCAGGAAAGTTTCTTTTTTCCTTGCAACTGTTACGAAAAAGCTTAAATGGAGAAAGAATTGTGGTTTTGAACGCTCTACTCGAAACCAATTTCATTTTTTTTAAATTCGACAGCTGTCAAGAGATATTTGGGAAAAACTGATTTATGGTATTTGACAGGAAAACTTGTAGGAATTTAAATTGAAAACAAAATGTCAAGACGTGCAAAATGCAAGAAAAGCAAGTTATTCAGTTTTAAAGAGTTGCAATTTTTGCATTGATTATAATGGTGGACTTTTTTTAATGTTTTACAATAAAAATTAAAGTTTCTAGAGTTAAATTTTAATTATTATAATAAACACTTTAAATGATCAGCCGTCTTAATTATATTAAGAAAAAGTTATTACCAACTTTAACGATGTTGTCAAAATAAATACTGAAGCATACTGTCATTTGTTACTATGGAAACATTGCTGAATGTCTTATACTATTTTCCATGGCTAACTTCGATCAACTAAATTGAAAAAGTATGAATTGTTCGGAGACACTTTATTTTCATCAGGAATCACAGAAATCGTAATAAAACGCTCTATTCGGTAAAGCAATAATCAAGTATGGTTGCCATTTAAAAAAACTCAAATTTGTGTCATATGTCAAAAATGACAGTTATTTTAGAGAAATGTATAATGCCATTTTGTTTGGAATTCACTTTCCTACAAGTTTTCTATTTAATGTTTTCCTGTCAAATTAATATCAACGGAAGTAGGAGTAAGTTAAAAGTGTACCCTAAATAAGTTTTGCCCAAATATCTTTTGACAGCTGTCGAATTTTAGAAAAATAAAATTTGTTGCGAGCAGAGCATTCAAAACTATAATTCTTCGTCCATTTGACCTTCCTCGTAACTACTCTAGTTCCGAAGATCCGGGTACCAGTCATCGAAAAAAACTCACCCTGTAGATAACTGTAGAGTTATATAGTTTTTTGAGTAATTTACCATTTAGTTAAATAAATAAAAAACAAAAACGCTTTACATTACAACTACTAACCGCCTCCTCTCGACTTTGGGACTCCATAAATCCGGAAAACTCCACCAGCCGTAGTTTGTGCGTGGCAATGGCGCGGCCTTCCCAAACCGGAGGCGCCGCTTGAAGGGGGCCCACATCCCCAGCAGACACAGCTGTGGCCGGTTTGCCGGTGTAGGCTCCTTGGGCGAAGGGTTTCACACTGCAAATTCAAGCCGATATAGGGACACATCAAGGATTTTTGGCAGCAAACTTACTCTTGGGAGGGTCCGGGCTGGAGGCCGGGCTGCCAGAATTGCTGAAACGCATCGGGAATAGTTAGCGCTTGATGTAAAAGGGGGTTAAACGGGGGGCCATGGGAGCAACACACAGCAAGCAGGCATCGATAACGATTTGGTTAAAAAGCCGGCGGCAGATCAAAAAGCGAGCCAGTAGTGAGCGGCAGGTTCATTTGAACAGTCCCTGCGGGTTATCTGGGAAGCGAACTTACCGCCGCTCCAGGAAACCCCATGGCATGGCCATTCAGGCCCAGGGGAAGCCCGGGCACCGACTTGCTGTGCATTGAAGTGGCCGAGACAATCTGGGCACTGGACATGCCCGACATTGTTTGGAGCGTCTTCTCCTTGACCGCGTGGTCCTACCAAATCAAAGGCGCCTTTAGTGAAAGTGCCAGGCCCAATTAAGTAAATGGTCTCCTAATGCTCGGTGAAGGTAACAGGAAATATATGAATGAAACAGAGCGTGATATAATCTGGTTGCTAAATGCGCCTAATGGAACTGGATCACAGGTGCATTAGAGAGTGTCTGCTTAATAGCCGATTAGACAAAGGCTTGTTGGTGTCGGACCCTGACTCATGTATTCAATGGGCTCAGATGGAAAGGTTGAGAAGACGTTCCATCCAGCTCCGGTATTCCGGTATTTTTGCCACCAAAAACACCACGCGATCGGGCATGTCTTTCATTTTTCTTCTGGCCGGGCGACTTGAGCCGCAATTAGCTCAAGCTGAGAGAATCGAAGATACTTACAACTTTAAGTTTAGCCTGAATTTCGCGCAGCTTCCGCCTGGCGAGCACTTGTATGTGTGAACTGACTTGTTTCCGTGTCCTCGTTTTCCCAGTTCGCAGTTTGATGTATCTGGCTATGAGTTCGTTTCGACCTGAAATAAAGTCCCATACAGTGCGTTGAATCAACACGGAAATCGGGCATCTGGTTTTCGTTTAGGTTCTAGGCTCATTTCGAAACTCATCGGAAACACCGGAAAAAATGTGGCTCGAAGGGATTTTTATATGCAGAGAGAAATGACGAAAAAAAACACCGAGGCTTTTTGAATTGAAATAAAAAATGGGTCTTCTAACCGCAAAAAGTGGATGGTCGTAATTTATTTAGGACCACGCAGTAACCGGACAAGTTTTTCTCGAATTTCTCCTACTTTTTTTTCCATGAAATTTTTCCGTGAAATCCTAGAGGACCTAATGAATGGCCTCCGAGATCGCCAGATCCAAGTCCCATAGAATTCCTTGCCGTAAATCCGGAAATAATTCAAAACGTACAAGACGAGTTTATTGATCGCCTTGGATCAATATAATCAAGTTCATCTGCTGAACACTTAATTTGATTGTTGTTCTGTTTCCTCTAGGCCTGGGTAACTCAGTACTGCGCAAATGGCTTGGTGCGCCAACCCAACGCACCGGCGCAGTAACTCAGTTCCGTTGTTGGGAAAATGTTGAGGACTTTTTTTAGATTTATTGTACAGGCCATTTATTAATCATATTTTTAATTTTTTTACACTTATTCAGTTCGTTTTTTGATAGAAAGATATTTGATTTTTGTCCCAAATTCGAAGCTGGAAAGGGATTTCAAAACTTTTTACAAGGCGAAGAAGGATTCGCATTGCATTTTTGATTTAAAACTTTTAGCTTTGTGGTCGGTTTGTACGAAAACCTTAATAGTTTTCGGGGAAAAATTTATTTTCGTTTTTCTCCCGACTTCGACTCCGGAAAAAGTTTGGTGAAATTCCTACAAAGCTATAAATATATCTTGTAATTTTTCGCGTAAAATGTACCAAGATCGTCAGTATTTTTAAGGAAAACTCTACAAAAAAGATCGTTTTTGAGTAGAAAGCAAAACAAAAAAATGCAGTCAAAACTAAAAAACCCATTCTTTTTAACAAACTACAGTTTTCAGAGGAATTGAAGTGACGAGTTTTCCAAATAATTTATATAAACTTTCGTTTATTCAGTTCGTTTTTTGATAGAAAAAACACACTTGGAATTGACTGAAGAATTCAAAATTGAATCCCAAAGTTGGGGTTTAAATTTGAAAAAAAAAACAATAAAGTTTTCTGATCCAGAAAACTGGATATAGAGGCGTAACGTGCATGTTGCTCGTGTTCATTTCATGCGGTCATCGCAAAATAAACCGAAAACAACCTCAATTCCTGAGTATGTATTCGGAAAACAAAAGCACGGCAAGGGATGTCACGCTCTCAGTCCCCAGAATGAGGGGCGGCGCGGCCCCAAACTATGCCAAGAATGTGCAATTAGTGCGAGAGCGAGGGGCGTTCGGCCGCCACCGCCGCCAGCGAAGAAAATATAAAGTAGGGTAGATTTCGCCATTATGCTGCAGCCGCGTTATTAGACGATGAAGATGTCACGGGATTTATAGGGCCTCCAACAGCGATTCTTCTCGTAAAATTAACTTTAAAGGAAAAATCAGCACAGTTTCGGTCCAAACGAGAACTGAGAGCCGCAATGCATCTGAACGCAAATTAACAGCGAAACTATTTGCCTGATGAAATTTATTTGCTACTCAGTTGAAATTAGCGGGAAATATGGACGGAATTCGGGCACTCACCATACATTTTTCCCTCGTCCGATAGGATGATCTTTCGTCGACCGCACGGCGGATAAATGGCGAGAGCCTCCTGGAAGCTCTGCTCGATGTCGGGACTCCAGACGCCCTCGGCGTCCGCCGCTGCCATATCCTTTTCATCCTGGAATTATCCGCCCTCAATTACACCACGATCTCGCCAATATACACGGTCAGTTTCGCTCACTTACATCGCTCAGATCCACCTCCAGGTTCTTCACGTCAGGCCCGCCATTTGAATCGCCTGGCGGGCCTGGAACCGGCGTCCACGGAGAGGTAATGATGCCGCCGGGAGTCACCACGCTGCCTACAAAGCAAAAATCATTTTTATATCAACTTTTACCAGACTTTTGATTTCTTTTGCAATCAAATGACCAGCTCAAGTATTTTCCGGGAGACTCCGGGAAGTAAACATACGCATCGAACGGTCAATCTGGGTTACATCGCCGTTATTTTCACTTTTGTGCACAGGTTTGATTGCCGATAACTTCAATAAGTCTGAAAATGCCCTCTTCGAAAGAGTTGTTGATTATGCAGGCCAACAGTTTCGTCCGCTATTGGATTTTCTTCACTTTGACTTAATTGCAAATGGAAATGAACCAGATATTGCAAGCGAAACCGTATAATTTCAACAAGAAAGTGCGCCAGTTCATTTTGTGTTAACTTGTTACCTGCATGTTGGCTTGCAAGACCGGGACCAATAGGGTGGCTACCGAACATACCAGATTTCACACCCTTGAATTCGTTCTTATGAAGTTATTTAAAATCCAAGGTTTATGTAAATCGACCGCAAAACATCGAAGACTTATGCAGGAGATTAGGAATATTGACAAAAATACACCCTACTAAGTGTGAAACACACGCAATAACGTTCAAGATGAGTGAGTGATGAGCACTTAATTTTACTCTTTTAGTACCTATTTATTTTAATTAGTTTATAAATTCGGGGCAAATTTTTCGAAAGTTTCCCGAAAGAAAAAAGCGTTTTCTATTCCAAAAAGTTGGCCTTGATATCATAACTTTTTTGGGTCACCCTGTATAAATAAAAGCTGGATAAGATTATTCGCCATTATCAATAAAACTCGCCGGCTGCGAGCTATTTTTCGGACACAAACACCTGATTTTTTTGTATTTAAACCGATGCATTAATTTACATTTTGTTTGTAAGCGACAATGGATCACAATATGTGGACACATTTTTCTCACGTAGAAATATTGTCTCTGACGTCACTGCCAAAAAGCTTGGGACAGACTACACGCGCGAACATGTTTCAATTTTTGAAAGCTTCTCCACAAACCGCTCAATGAGCTTCGAAAGTTAATTCCAAATAAAACCGTTAAATTTTGTAAATTTTCGGATCTATCGTCGATTTTTAGCTCCAGTTTATGTTAGGTGTCCCAACCTTAAAACAAACCGTTTCGGAGTTATTAAGCAAAGTTTAGGAAGATGTAGCTGCAGCTGTCAAAATGTTCATTTATTTCGCAAGTTCAAAAGTCCAAACGCTCCCTGGTGGCTAAAATTATAACTGTAAGTTAACTAAGTAATTTGACACTTGTTTTGTGATTTGTTTTGTTCTAAGGAACTTTTGCAAGCTTGTCATTTTCTACTTATTCGCTTCGTTTATTCGTACACATTAATTTTTGTTACAATTACAACTCTTTATTTTCGCTTGTTTACCAACTCCAATAGATAGACAAGTCTGACAAGTCTCAACTGTCACTCGCCAACGAGTAATTTGACGTTTCGCAGCGCTCCCATTGCAAGTTGAACTCGCGTTTGAAGCTATCAGCGTTGCCACAAGTTTGCATAGTTGAAAGACTGGTTTTGATCTTTAATTAATGTAAAACTGTCGACAATAAATTATAAAACTTTTGCCTAATTGTAGTGTATTTTTTCTTCCAACTTTTGAATAGTCCAGGGAAAATTAGTATTCACCGGCAACCCGCGAAAGTAGTTTTTATGCGGGGCAAACGCCCAGATAATTCATGACGGAACCATCGCTCCTCGATAATCATAAATTGATTTGGCCTACAGCTTTTTACGAGCGAAAAACTGGCCTACATCGTCTGACGTCATAATTCTTTCAGATTTCAGCACTGAGGCCTTGTTCTTAAGGCGACTTTGACCAACCTCGGACATGAGTAAACTTCAATAGGGCGTCTGAAATAATGACGTCACTGCCAAAGGGTTTGGGACAGTTCGAATTTAGACAAAGATGGAAGAGAAGCGGTTAAAATAAACGGAGCACATTCTAAAAAGCGCATAGTTCGGTACCAGATCGGATATCTCAGCAATTCCATCTCGGCTGCTGGAGCGCAGAGCTGGTTGGAAAAATTTTTCGGAATCCCAGCCCGTACGCCGGTCAGTCCGAATTCGAAAAGCCGCTTCGGGGAAACGAGAAACGCGTGGAATGACGCTTGGCCAGGTAGAGAATACGTTGGGGAATTCAATCGGACGCCATTATTAATCCAACCCGAAACAATGGCTTGTCGGAGAAACAGGGGCGTCCCACACACAGTGATACTTTCAAGTTCTGAGTCCTGAGTGCCTCTGGACGACATCGTCCAAAGATTAGCCGAACGAACATTTCAATATCATCAGACTTCCTTCCGCTGCTAAATCACCTAACTCATTAGCCGACAACTGTAAACATGCAATAAGCGCCTTGTAATGACCCAGATAGGAGCGATTGGAAGACAAAGACAATCAGCGCAAAACGCGCTTTATGAGTTCGCGTTTAACACTGAATTAATCCTGCTCTGTTACGTCGAAACCGATGAACAAATGGCCGAATTCCTGCACGGCATGCAGGTAAAGGGCCTCTTTTGTCCGACGTAAATTCACAACATTTACGTGTGGTTCATTGTAATATCTCCATTGTGTCCAATCGTTCGGACAACGGGAATTCCCATTTATCTCCACGTGCGGAACCCAAAGGGTGCAAATGGAAAATAACAAGCGCCCTCGACATAAAAAAATGCAATTGTGCTTAAAACATGACTTGGGGGCAATTTCAAAGTGTTTCTGCAAGTATACTTGGAGCAAAAAAAAACGACAGTCGAATCTGTGAAACCAATTGCTCACGAGAAAACGAATCCGAAAGTATTTTCAACTACAGTTTCGTTTTTTAATTGTTAAAAAAGGCTACAAAAAAGAAACTACAAGGGTAAATGTCCACCCTTCGCAAATGACCATAGCAGCATATCATTGTGCAATGTTTCCGGCCTAGTTTCGGCTGAACATCAATGTAAAGACGAAATAAATCAACATATCAACAAGGTAGAACGTGAATTGTGGCAGTTTGAATGCGTTGGCCAACATTCGCGGTACTTTCCACTTTTAGGAAATAGACCTGGTGCCGCAACCGGCCACTATTATATATTTATTTTCAATGAAATCGTCAGGTTGCTCGCTGAAATCAACCGATTTCTTCGAGCAATAACTGGGGCATCAGGAAAGTCAGCAAATCGCACGCAATTTGCAGTTCTTGTAATTTGCTGCCATGATCTTGATTGAAAACCAGTTCAAATTACAAATTTACCCGATATTATTGATTATGATTTCTTGAAAAACCAAACGTTTTTTTAAATTAGCCACAATCGAACATTCGCATCAAACGCCGCTTTAAAGCGAAAAATTGCCAAAGACCGACAGCCGAAAATTGATGTACATATTCAGATCCAAATACACTAAAAAATTCACGACTTTATTTCAGCAAAAGGTCCAGGGAGTGAAGCCTTAGTTCTACAATTCCTTAGTTCTTACTCTGTACAATTTTCAATACTTTCTACATCGGACATTTTCATCGGGGGGCCAAATCGGAATTTTGGGTAATTTTTATGAAACTTTCAGCTTTGAAGAATCACTGTTTAATTCCGTTTGAAAGATGCAAATAAAATGTTTTTGACTGGATGGGAAACACTCAAAATTCTCTACATTTTGAGTGTTTTTCGTGTCAAACTCAGTGTCGTGCCCGAAGGGCTCGGCACAACATCGACATTAAACACTCTTTAATGCGTTTGTTGTGGATGCTGACTGGATGCTAAAAAGTTAAGAATCGCTGAATTTGGAGTGTTTTTTACATCGAAATCATGGGCAATTTCGCATCGGCTACAACTTCGACATTAAATACTCTTTAATGCGTTTATTGTGGATGCTGACTGAATGGGAAAAAGTCAAGAATCGCTGAATTTTGAGTGTTTTTCGCTCGAAATCATCGACAATTTCGCATCGGCCACAACTTCGACATTAAACACTCTTTGATGCGTTTGTTGTGTACGCTGACTGGATGGTAAAAAATCAAGAATCGCCGAATTTGGAGTGTTTTTGGTTTAGCATCCATCGAAATCACCAGCAATTTCGCATCGGTCACAACTTCGACATTAAACACTCTTTAATGCGTTGATTGTGGATGCTCACTGGATGGTAAAAAGTAAAGAATCGCTGAATTTGGAGTGTTTTTCGCATCGAAATCAGTGTCGTGCCCAAAGGGCTCGGCCACAACTTGGACATTAAACACACATAAAACTACTTTGTTGTACCGAAACTTGAAGACGATGTCCGAGGCAAATGCCAGTGGCAAAACCGCCCTGATTAACGCACTGTTCACATTTCTGCATTGCATGCCGATTTTCTCAAGTCCCAGTTTCCGCCTTTATGCGAAAAACAAAAGACCGCGCAATTCCCCGTGAAAGATTATTCAGTATCAAAGTTTCTTCCAGAGTTACAAAGCAGTTTCGGGGAGGGGCTGCTGCCAGCCCCAAAAGAGAATGTCGAGCCGTTTACATTGGCAGGCGCTTGCCGTTCTTTGCTTACACAAAGGTTTTCCACTTTGGTGCGGCGCCGGTACGCTCCACTTGCCACATGTATAAACTTTGCAGAATTTGATATTTCAAAGCGCCACTCCCTTCATCTATCAAATAGAGAGAAGAATACCTAAACTGAAAGAATGCGAGTGACTCGCTGAGCAATTGGGCGCTCACATCAATAAGTAACCTCCCAGTTCCCACAGTAAGGAAGGAAAAATATGTTTAGTGTCCGTTCGCTAATAATAACGGCGGCACTATTAGTGACATAACTGCAACACGTGTTCCATAATAACAGAGTTTTACCACTTAAACTGCGAAAACGGCGTGTTTTAACAGACATTCAACTCCCTAAGAAATGGAAGCAAGATGAGGGAAAACCGCTGACAATTTATAATGGAAACATCTCTTAACGACTCGAGTGACAAAAGGCAACATTTGTTGATCGAACGCATTGACGTGCAGAAAGCAAACCCAATTCGACGGCCACCACTGGTGGCCACGGCTGCTGTTTGTCTCTTCTCGTTCGCCGTGTTATATCATTAGTTGTCTCCATTAACCTTTTCCATTGCGATGGCCAACTTATCATGGCAGTACTGCACACTGCACCGTAAATGCGCCACAATCGTTTACCGTTCTCGACTGTGACGTTGGTCCATCTACGCCACTGGACCGGTTACACAACCTCGCCTGGAACCCGAAAAAACTACGCTCTCGAGCAGGTTCTGCTTTGTTCACTTTATCGCAGCTTAAGGGCAGGTAAACGGTGCCCAGGTGAAGACACGACAGATTGATTCCGTTCATTCATGATTAAAGTTTTCAGTCATCAGCCAATTCTACATAGGAAATCTGAATGTAACGTCTGCATTCGCAATCTACCACAGTTTACCTTTGTAGAGGCATTACTTTGAAATGGTCTCATGTCAGATTGGTAGCCTATGGGCTAGCTTTAGGACATTAGGAAAAATTACTATCTTTACTTATTAAAAAAGTCCTCTTATACAATATTTTGACGAAAATTCAAAGCGACAACGATGTTTTCTGTCCTTGGCAAAAGAAGCTGCTCAAAATGTGATCCCAATAATGCTGCGAAAAGTGGACAATAACGTGATTACACGGGCATCAAGCATGTTGGGATGGAGTCAGACGGGCAGAAGTTTGAACTACGAAAATCTTTCTCAAAAATCTCAAATCATGACGTCACTGCCAAATAGCTTGGGACAAATCATAATTACGTGACGAAACCCAAACTAACAAACGTAAAGTGGGCGTCGGCTTCGGGCGATAAAACGACAATAAGCGCAACCATTGTACCGATTATGAGCATTATCGTTAACAGTCGCTCGCATTTTACGTTATTACAGTTGTGATTAGGGAGCTGCGATAGCGCTGAATGCGTTAAAACCTTGTGGATCACGCTCTGGGCCGTTTCCTATCATAAACCCCTACGACTGAAACATTAATGACATTGACACATTGACACTGTTCAGCCCAATGTTGCCACAGCCTGCTCATAAGTCGGAAGTTCCTCGAAAACGACAACAGTCTTACATCGGAAGTGAACAAGAGCTCACTAAAGCAATTTGGAGTTAAGGCTGCTAAGGCGGTACCGTCCATTGTATGTTAACTACACTTCATTAAATGCACACGAACACGTTAAAAACAACAAGCGCACGTGTTCCGGTATTGGGGCAGTTCGTCAGCCCACGGGGCCCCCACTCGTTACAGACAGTTTTCGCTCTATGTCCGGAACAGCCGCAACAAGACCACACGAAAAATGCCCATTTGCGCCCAAAAACACAACGCAGATGTGCCAAATGCGTGAAATTTTCCGAGTTTCAATGAGTGAAAACTGCATGTGCGCCAAACGCTGCTAATAAAAACGTTATCTATCACGTGGGACCAAGTTTAACACCCCGAGGTCCCATAAAATCATTCGTGTTCAGTTTAACTACTAATTTAAACGGGTTCAATTCTAGGCCCTAACCTTTCCAAAATATAAATGTTTCACCGCTTGAAAATTCAAGGTAAACAAAGCACTCATCACGCTGAAGTGGTACCCGATTAAATTCAATAATAAAACGCGTGTGACATGGCAAATTCGCGCCAATAACCCGTGACAACGACACCTTTTTACGCGAAACAACAGATAACGCAATTCTAGGCCAGGTTTTTCATAGGAAATTAACAAGAAAAACAGTTCAACCATTAACCAGTTTCATTAAACCAGAGATTTCCAGAGGCTGGGTAGATCTTCAGCGGAATTCGTTCGCAAATGTCAATGGCATAAGGCCTTTAGCTAACATTATAAAATAGAAACGCAGGAGGTTTGGCAGACAGCGGAGCCGATCCCAGTTCGTGTCAGCTGCGACGGCTAAATGCCAAATGGATCGAACAAGTAAATGCCAATTCAGTTGGGGACACACACATAGTGAGACGGAAAACAAACAGTTTTCGCTCAACTATGCCAGTTTATCTGCCCAGTTTCGAATGCAACAAACCTGTTAAAAGTCACCCAAGTGCGGAACTAATCGAGTGTTCAATGCTAACTATTCAAACAAATCGAGTTAAACAAAAAACTAACAAGAATCAGTCATCGACAGTTGCTGCATAATGCACAAACAAGTTGCCTGATTTGAGGAAAACTTTTGATGCCCACCCTGTAAGGGAACTAGAGAATTGCGATGGGAACTTTCGATGAGAGGGAGCGAGAACAACATAGGCGGAGTCACCGAAACCAGTCAGTCTTCGACGTCATTTCCCCCATATACCGGGGCCTGTCGCAAAATAACATTCTTCTTCAGTTCCCCGATGGAATTGTCTCATTCAAAAATCGGGCTGTTTTGGTGGCAAAAATCACATAGATTTGTGATGTGCGTGTGGCATCAGTTCCTCAGGCAAAACAGCGGCAAATAACCCTAATTAATACTGTTAAGCGGTATACTATACCGAAAATTGGCTTTAATTAATCGAAAACGATGTATCGATAGCGATAGCAAATGTTCAAACCGAAAATGCCGTTAAATGCGATTGAGCATAGTTGATTTTCATTATTGAAATTTGTCGATTTGCCTCCTGTTTATCGGTGGTCAGTCAGTATTCGATCGATTTTATTAAACAATATTTCGATAAACCTACAATTCTCCTTCCATCCTTTGGGGTTACGGTAACCAGAAGCGGGCATTCAAAGCAGATGGTGATCAAGGATAAAATCATTACCTTAATCTGCCTCGTCCGCCGATCGAGGTTTCCAAGAAACATCCGAAGAATTCAAACTGAAATGCTTTTGAGCGAGCCGCCCCAGTCAAGTGAGGAGCTCAGTGGCAGCGACAAGTTTTTCCAACCGAATCCCGACATTTTTCGTGCTAGTCTGTCCCAAACCTTTTGGCAGTGACGTCATTTGAGACACCATATTGAAATGCAGTCATGTCTGAGATTGGTTCGAACAATTTCCTTTCATATTGCGTGGTTGCAAGCTTGAGCATTTCATACAAATTTTCCTTGACTTTCCTGGCCATTTCTTCAAACTAGTAAGTTTTTCACCACGAGTGTCTTCACAAAGAAGTGGAATACTATCTATCTATTTGGTCCTGACGTTTCGCCAGCACGCACGGTTGGCATCTTCAGAGTTGTGTTCGTTCCGGGCGACACAATCCTGAAGAAATTGTCTGTTTTGGAATCAGCCTGACGCTTTATCACTATTTAGTGTCGCGCCCGCTTTGACTTGCAATTATCGCTTTCTTGGAAACCTTGGGTTATTTAATGATTGCGTCTAATTGCTGGTTCGAGCGCGAGCCTACGTGGAAAAGTTCATGCATTTACTACTAGTCTATGAATAAATCAAGTCCGAAACTTGCAGCCAAACCTGAGCGCTTGAAATCGTTGTCCCATTTTGTTTTCTGTAAGTGAGGGCGGTCTTTTTTGCACAGATAGAAATTGAGCAGCAGCAACAGCAGCAGCAGTTAAGTAACTGAATACGAAGCTGCTAAAAATGCTGCGAAGAGTGGACAAACATGTTTGGAGTAAAATATCTTGTGATTTAGCAACTAAATTGCAAAAAGATCTTCGACTCATAACCGTTGTTAGGAGGTATTGTTAACATCCCGTTACCTTAACCTATTTCATTGCATCTGAACCCAACTTTCTGTATTTACCTATGGTTACTTGAGCTTCTGATATGGATGAGAAGCAACAGAAATGACACCAGTCTGTATTGCATTTAATTAACGACCAAATCGAGCCGAATATCTGTTTAATTAATGACAAAAACACACAGACAACTCAATAAACGATTGTTCATCAAATTATTAATAGAAACATACGTATGTATGGGCCCGCTTGATGAATGCAAATGATTAGGGCGGCTTCGAGTGCTAATTGACTGGCTGCAGCGAAACAAAAACACATATTTCTTGTTGCAGCCCATCTTCCATTGTTCAAATGGCACCCTTTGAAAACGCATTCCTGTCGCGTTAATTATGAAATAGCCGGCACGGGGAAAAAGACAACGTTGATGTTTTTCGACGGCGCAAACAGCAATCGCAAAAAGGCCGCCAGGTCTAAATTATTCCAGTCGAATACTTGCCGTTCCCGAAATGCCAGCCAGTTAAAATCCCTAAATAATACTCCTTAATTTCATTATTCGAAGCCACGGGCCGGGGACGCAACCCCCTGATCAACAGGTGCCCGACCAACTTTATTTTATTCCGAGGATGTAAAAATGACAAGGTTTATAGATAAGTTCTATATTGTTGAGGCGGATTCATGTTTTCACAAACTGTTTGTTGGTAATCTCGTGAGATAAGAGCACTGTTTATCAATCTGTAATAATAGACGTGAGGAAATTCTGTCTTTTTTTAAGACAAAAAATGTTTGAGGCGAAATACGCAACAAACAGCTTGTAAGAAAAACACTGATTCCCAGACCCCGCCTCCAGTGAAGAAAGTTATTTTTTTGCAATTTTTCGTCGCTTCTCGTTTCAGTTTCCCCAGGGGGCGGAGAAAAAACGCGGTGATTTACTAGGAAGGGTGGCTGGTAATAAATGTCGCGCAAGTTTTAGGACTTGATCAGTTGTGAAAGAATTTAGATTTAAGGGTTTAATAAGTGTTCGCGAACACTTCAAGGGCTTTTGCAATCTGAAGGCGGCGTTTAAAGGGTGGCAAACGCCGTTATCTCTTTCTTGAATTGCCTGCATCGAACTGTAACCGAACGCAGTCGATTCAAATTTCTATCCGCTGTTTTGTTCTTATATTGTGTGTTAGCGTTATAAGTGATATTTTATCTAAGAGCCGCACCTTTCACTGCCAGTCGAGTAAGTAACGGTGTTGACAAAAAGACAATTACCTCACACGAATAATAATTAGCTTGATTGGACGCCAGCTGAGTCACGCCTAGCGGCGGCTAAGTTAAAAAGGCAACAACCTGATTAACACTTTATTGGTCAATTGGGCTTCTTCTCTTGCTCTTCTTTTTCTACTACTTGTTTAACTGCTCGTTAGATGTTATTGACATATGCCTGAGTCCGTCTTATCAGTGCCATTTTGTCCCATCGGTGTATGGGCACCTTTAAAGCTGAGCCTCAACATGTATGAGCACCAATTCTTTCAACCAACCCGGTAATTATAGAAATTCGCATGTGAATTGTTGCAAAACCGCGCAATTATTATCAAGAGCCAAAGGATTTCCATCTATCAGGTCAGCAAAATAAATACAAATTTAATTGATCAACAGCAAGCAGGTGGAGTATTGACTCGAGCAGCGTGCGGGTTTTACGATTAATAATTTTCTATTAATGTTACTATTATTGACGTATGCTCTAAAGCGCCGTTATCAGTTGCCTTCATTCGGGTAATCCGCGTAATTTGTCGATATTTATCATGAAAATGGGCGTTTATTAGGCGTCGCGGCAGGCCGTGCAACAACCGTTAGCAGTTAAAATTGTCCGGCCTATTTCAGACCGCCAACAAGAACTAAAAGCAAGTCGATTAAAAATACCCGCAAATGTCAACCAATCGCACTCGAACAATAAAAATCTAATAATGGCACGGTGCTTGGCAGTTGTTGCATTGATTTTTCACCTTTGAATGTCCGCATGTGGACTGGACCGAACAAAGTGCCTCCAAGAGCACGCTTCTGCCTCCCTGGATCCGGCATGATGATCAAATGTATCGGTCAAGTTTGCTTTCACCGATTTTACAAAGCGACTTAACGTTCGGAAATCCTTCAACGTTTATTTTTGGTGTGGTGACGCACGGGTAAACTCTGGAGGCAGAAAAGCTGGGCTGCACGCTGGAAAAGCATGAAACCGGCGAGTTATTCGCGTCCACTTAACGCATTAAGCTTTTTTTTGGGTCCACGGTGTCACTTGTCTATTAAAGCAAGTAGTTTCTTGGGCTTTTCGTTGCTCTGATACTCATCTAACTCGAGGCACCGTATACACGGTGGTGGTCTGGGTAATTCAGTGAATTTTTCGGAATTGGGCAGTGCTGCGCAAATGGGTTGGTGCGCCAACACAACGCACCAACTCAGTTTCGTTGTTGGGGAAATGTTGATGCCTTTTTTTACTTGTTTTTAGATTTGTTTTAAGGGCCATTTAGCAATAATATTTTTAACATTTCTTCAAAATTACAGAATTTTTCAGTTTTAGCCCACTCTTTCTTCTAAATGCTCAATTTTCTATAGTTCCGCTTAAAAATGCTGACAATCTTAAGGTGTTTTCCGCGAAAAATTATGAAATAAATTTCGAATCCTTGGTCGCTTCGTAAAAAGTTGTGAAATCCCTTTCCAGTTTCGAACGAAAAAAAACGAACAAAATAAGCGAAAGTTTGTAACTGATTATTCGGAAATCGGATGTGACGAACCTCCATTCCTCTGAAGACTGTAGAATTTGTTAAAAAATGTGGTTTTTTAGTGTTGACTGAATTTTTTTGCTTTACTTTCTACTCAAAAACGCTCTATTTTGTAGAGTGTTGCTTAAAAATACTGACGATCTTGATACATTTACGCGAAAAATTACAAGATATATTTATAGCTTTGTAGGAATTTCATTTAAATTTATCACGTTTTTCCCCGAAAAAGTTTTAAATCAAAAAACGCAAAAACATATAAATTTCTGATTATTTTCTTCTTTTCTGACAAAAATGTGGTCTTTTCAGCCAAAAATGACAAAATTAATTTTGCTAGAAAATTCGCCCCATTCATCGGTTTGCAGGGAACTTTAGAAAACCGTTTTCAGCTTCGAATTTGGCACAAAAACCAAATAATTTTATTCAGTTTCTTATCGAAAATAATTAGGACTATTTTAAAAAACCGACCGGAGCAAAAGTTTACAAAAAATTATTGGGAAAATTCGCCACCCTCATCGCTCGGAAGATTTCTAAAGTTGCCTTAAATTTTAAGGTCATTCCAGTTTTCACAAGGTTTCTATAGAAAGAAGTCGTAGAAAGAATTGCTTAACTTCTTTCTACGAAAAAATCGCATTATTTTTTAGTTTTACTTAAAGTACTGACAATCTTCAGGTATTTTCTGTGAAAAATTATAAGATACATTTGGATACATTGGAACACGCATTCTTAACCGCTTTGCAAAAATATTTGGAAAACTTTTTGTAGCTTCGAATTATGGAAAAAACCCTAATAATTATTTCTGGGTCTTTTTCCAAAAATATTGCGCCGAACTGAAAAAGCGAAAGTTCACAATCATTTATCTGGAAAACTCTTCGAAACTGGCGTTTCTTCACTTTTAGGTCAATATTTTTAAACGACACTGTATCTAAACAGAATAACCGCGTTTTTTCTAAGATTTTACTGTAAAATACTGGCAAACTGATTTTTTTATGCAAAAAAATGAAGAGATCGATTTAACAAGAAAACTGGTCGACTTTCTTTGGACTCAGTTCTGTTGCTGGGAAAATCTAGATAACTTTTTTTAATCGTTTGAACAAAGTAGTAAAATGTTACTCAGAAAAAATGGGAATAACCTTTTTAGATGTGAAAATTCCAGTCTCAGGTCTCGTAAAGCCTTAACAAATGAAATATAACCCACTAACCGATGAGTTATAACTCGTTAACTCGAGCGCGGCAAGAAGTCAATAGCGCGATTCAGCACAGTAAGTAGTACCCGTAACGCCCCTAAACATTTTAGAATAATAAAAACATCTCCAGATCTTCTGATGATTCCCAAGGAAAAAACTGCTGTTATAAAATTTTGATTCCGTTCTTGAAATAGTCTGGCATTTCCATTTTAAACCCCAAATGCCCCGTTCTTTACGCAAAAGGAAACACGCGCTTCACCTCAAATCTTCTGCAGGAAAACTCTTTTGGAACGGTCCAAATTCCGTCAAATATAATGAAGGTATGGGCAAATGAAACTGCGTGCTTCACTGACTGTGCAAAGTTTTCTTGTATGCGATTTAGTTAAAGCTTGGGACTTATAATCAATCAGTCCGTGTCGTGTCCCTAATTAATAATTGTTAGTCAACTTTCAATTTTTATTCCTGCCTTTTATCTTCGGTTTGTTCGCTTCCTGTCTTAATACGGACGCAGATACTGCTTCGGAAACCAGTTTTTGTGCAAACCGAGAGAGACTTTTTTCCGGACTGACTATGTGCAAATACATACAAGTACTACTTGGTTACGCAATGTCCAGGTGCAGCTAATGCACGATTTAATTATTAGTCTCTTTGTTTGGTTGTTCTGATTGCTGCCGACGAACGAAACGAATACCAAATGAGTTTTCATATTCCCATTAGTCTGGGGAGTTTAGCTAAAACTGGAACTGCTTAAAGAAAAAGAGTAGGTATCGCCAATCATTACCGGCTCAATAATGAGAATGTAATTGCTGAAGTCAAGGTTTGTTGGCGTACCCTTCACAAGACCAATACAGGGTGTCCCATCAGTAATAGTAAAAAAAAATTACGGCCGATTTCTGGGGCGAAACAGTGCGATTGGGCACACCTTACTCTTACTCAGTTCGCCCTAACTTTATTCTGATACTGAAACTGAAAATATGTTTTTCACTATTTTCCGATCAGTTGGCATCCCGAAGAGCAACGGTTTTCGAGATATTTGCAATTAAAGTATTCGGAGCGATGCATTTTGCATTGCAATCTTATAGGTAGGTACGCACGTAACTTAGTAGGCTGTGATGCTTTCTAATCAGTTTGACACTTGACCGTAATGACATAAATTGTCTTGATCCTCATGATTGCCACCCAATTTCAATGCAAATTTGCATTTAGATTTTCTTGATTGGAAGACACACGTATACAAACAAAGTCATAAGAGTTTAATGAAGCGTCCAGAAGTGTCTGCTTCATCTTTTGTTTTAGTTAGTGTTGTGCAATTCGCGAGTTCAAAAGTCCATACGTCCAGGAATTACAACTACATTTGATTGTGATTTGTTTTGTTCTAATCAACTTCAATCAACTGTTTGATGTTATAAATGTCATCAACTCCAATAAATAAACAAGACTGACAAGTCTCAACTGTCACTCGACAACGAGTAGGTAATTTGACGTTTCGCAGCGCCACCATCGGTAGTTGAACTCGGGAATAACCGAGAAATCCGCCGTTGAATTTTTCCAGGACACCCTGTATATCGGGCATTTGTTATGTGTTTTATTCTTTAGCACGCCAGTCGCTCTTTTTTTCACGATGTGATACTGTTTGCAATGTCGTCCATATAAATCTGAAATGAAGAATGCAACTGGCTGCATATTCGGCGCGTTTGTGCGTCTGAGGTTCGCTCAGACGGTATGCTGGCCGATCCTTTTCAGGCCTGGCCACTTTGGGACGCTTTTTGCGTACAGATAAAACGAAAGAAACATGACGGTTGTCCTGCCGAACCACAGGCCGTAATCTACGCACGATGCTGGGACATAAAACAGCCCATACCCAAGTTAAATACAGTGGCGAGTTGTTGATGGCTTCGGGCTATTTCTGAGGCCATTTATCAGCCGCTCCCGGACAGAAACTTTCCGTGGTTGGCTGTTTAAACCAGCGAATTGTTTGCTTTGCAGGAGCATAAACTGGGCAATTAGTCATCGGGATTGATTGCGCTCAGAAGAGGACAAACAGCGCTCGTGTTGCCGTATCAGCTACTGAAACGCGATCAGAACACAGTTTTTATCTTTAATTGCTTATCGGTCGTCATCGGAGCCACTGGAGTATTCAAATAATCTCAATCATTTCTGGTCACATGTTCAATTATCTTTAACTGAGTGAATGCAGAGCGGGTGTTTTGAACCAGAATTTGAAACTATAACAGTTCTTCGGACTGCCAACTTGTTGAAACAATTGCTTGCAGATGATACAAGGATGACTCACAACATAGAGTACAATACAAGCCAATACCTAAATACATGCCGCTTGTAGGACTCCCGTAGCGAGTGATTTGGGCCGCGTAATCCAATGTGGGCTAACCACTATCCACACGAACACTCCATCACTAATTGGACAAAAACAACACTAGATTTGAACGAAAACACTCGGAAGGGCGAGAAAAGACACATGGCTGAAGAGCCGTCGCCACTGAACTGGACAATAACCCGAAGAGACTGATTACCTCTGAGCAATGTCAGGCAAATTTACAATCACAATTCGAGTAAAACCTGTAAACAAGCAAAAATCGGGCGCAATACTCGAAATTCGAGCGTGTCTGCCGAAATGCGCCGATGTTGTCAGTCGTCAGAAGTTCCGAACCCGAAGCACGACAAATATGTAAAGTATTGTAGGAATTAGAGGCGCATTGCTGGACTTTCGGCGCATTTTTTCACCAAAACACTGCGATCAGTGTATGAAATGGGCAATTAGACAATCGAGTACTTACCAGAGTTGCAAGTTGAATGCACTGCGGCAACTTTCACGCTAATTAGGACGGATTTTGGTCCGTTAATACGAAGAGTTTGCCTGTTTGTGGTATGCCAGGAATGGTACAAAGAATCTAGACAACGCGAACACTACCGCGCACACTGAGACGCGCAGTAACAGAGCCAGTTTTCCGACAGTCCCGCTCCCCCTCTACCTTCAACAAAACAATTCCTACACCCAATAATAACACTCCACAGGAATCGGTGCTGACATCTAAGCGTTGGCAGGTCACCTACAGCGGACTGTAACCCAGTCTTGCCAGCTCCATAGCTTTTACGCAGATCCATAGAAAAACCTCGCCAGCACTTGATGACCGCTGACACCCTTTGAGTGATTTACGCGAAAAACGTTCTCATCCAAACCCAAAGACAATGAAATTTTCCATAAAACTAAACGTTGGATCGTGAAGGGGAAATACCGGTAAAATTGTTGAAGTTCGCCTTGCTTTTTGTCCATAGCTTTCTTCTGATGCGTCTAGGAAATAAAATAATTTTTTCGCAAAAATATTAACACTATTTATTGCCTGCAATCTAGAGCAACCTATTCAGTCAGACTTTGGAAGTATTGGACAAAAAATATTGTCCGAGTTCGAAAAGTTAAACCTGGCAACACTGGCCAGCACGCACTGACATTGGAGTTGTCGGTGGCTTGTTTTTTTGGCACTGTAAAAAAACACAACAAACAGCACATTTTCCAGCCCAAAATGGTCAAGTTATACTGTCTGACCGTTCTGTACAAAGGCCACGACAGTGCCACGTGGTTAAAATCCGTCTACGATCTTCAGAGCGTGAACTTTTTCCAGCGGGGCCCCGTCCAGGAGTTCATGCTGTTTTGTGCCAAGACTATCGTTGAACGGACACTGCCCGCTTCCAGACAGTCAGTGAAGGAGGGCGAGTACATTTGTCACGTGTATGTACGATCGGACAATCTGGCGGGAGTGGTCATTTCCGATCAGGAGTACCCTTCTAGAGTGTCGCACACGTTACTGACCAAGATCCTGGACGAGTTTTCGGACAAGATTCCTGCGGTGAACTGGCCCAACCTGCAGGAGCGCGACGTGGCTTTTCCCCAGCTCAGTACCTACTTAGCCAAGTATCAGAACCCGAGCGAAGCTGACGCGTTGACCAAGATTCAGGACACTCTAGACGACACGAAAATCATTCTGCATAGCAATATTCAAGCAGTGCTTGAGCGAGGCGAGAAGCTGGATGACCTGGTGGCCAAATCTGAGGGCCTCAGCATCCAATCGAAGGCCTTCTACAAGACTGCAAGGAAAACGAACGCCTGCTGCAGCTTCACTTAGACCAACTGCCAATGGGTAAGACCTAAATTCGGCCTGCTTAATTAAATTTAATCCACAATGAAGTGGAACAGTATTTATTAAATATAGGCTTAACGTGTGAACAGCCTGAAAGTGACATTCCAGCTAAAAGCTATATCTATTCGAAAAACCTACTTAAACAAATTTCTTGATTGTATTCAGAGTATCGTTGGGACTTGGAAACTGTATTCAACTCCCTTTGGGGGACTGTTACGATATATCTCATTAAACATGTTGAATAAAATCAGGTTTTATTTGCAGTTGACCTACTCGCTTGGAGCTGTTGGTGTCTTTGCTTGTTTGCTCATCAGCTTTTTCACCATTTCCTCCTCGCGCGCTTTTTTGCGAGCCTCCTTCAGCGACTTTCTCTGTTCTTTCTCTTTCTTTTCCAGCATTTCCTTGAATCGGTCGTCCCTGGGGTCCACAGTGTACCCAAAATGCCTTCGCACCTCCTCAACTAATCGGTCTTTGCGCATCTAGAAATATTTCCAGCAAATATTAGTCAAGTATCGCGATTAAATCAGTGCAATGTCAGAAACTAATCCTCTTTGAGCGTATTATCGTCCGTTTTTGAGGGTTTTTTTTTACATTAACTGATCACTGTGTCGGTAAGATGCTAATTATATTGCACGGGAAACCATTTAAACATTTCTTCGCGCAGCTTTCTCTTTTCCGATGAACTTGTTTTGTGTTGGCAATGCCAGCAGTTAAAACGTGTCGCGTTTAAGAAATACTCAGCTTAGAATGCCATAAAACTAGTCATCCCAACTTCGGTGAGTTAGCTAAAAGTTCCATAAAACAACAGTTGCTTGCTCACCTTTGCTTCCAGTGCCTCGCCCTCTTTCTTGGCAATTTTCGCATACAACTCCCTCTTCCATTGCTCATTCTTCTCTATTTTCTTAACAATATCCTCCTGCCGCTGCTTATCGCTTCGCACCTTTTCAGCGTTTTCTGCATTGACTCTCTGTACCATTTGCGTTACTGTCTCGGGATATTTCACTCGCTCGTACTCCATACTATCCTCCAACTCGGCCTGCACAAACAAGCCAAACTATGCGTCGGGGCACCGATTTGGTGTACAATTAGTATAGATTTACTTTTACAGGCCAACATATTGAGGGATCCACATTGGAGGCGGCCCCATATCGTCCAAAGGTCCTTCGAAGGTACTTGAGAGTGCCGTGATGCCAAAACGTCGCCTCAGGGTAAGGATTTTCCTCGTGCAACATGCGGAAGTCGGCCTCTTTCAATCGGGATTTGTTCCGTTTCCTCTGCAACTCCTCCTCTTTCTCCCGAGCTGCCCCATCCTCAGTAACTAAAGAAAGAGCGCAATTGTTAACAAGACTGGAAAATGGGGCCGTTCACACTTAAAAGTACCTTCAGTAGTGTCCTGTTCCGCTTCCAACTTTTCGATATTGACCTGCGAGCTGAGTCTCGTCCATGCTGGTTGAACTACTTGCACCTTGAGTAGGCGCCCCAAATATTCACGGCAAAGCATGATCAAAATTCCAAACCACAACCAGAGACACAACTTCCAAAGAATGTTAGGTTATAAACAGCCTGAAATGTCAATTAAATGAGGTTATCCTAAGCAATTTAAAGGTTATGCGACGTGTCGGTTGAGCTAGGTTCATAAATAAACAACAAACTGATGATTGTTAATTGTGCGAAAAATACGCCAGCGAGCGGGTGGAACAGCAATTGCGGGGTTCGTAGACAATCAGTAGACGGCCATTAGCCGAAAAGTTCAGCAGCTGATAGCGATTCATAACAGGTGAACTCATTTAGGGCGAAAGTGCAGCGGCCGTTTCCAGTACAGGTCCCCAAATCCAGAAAGAGGCCTGCAGTGACAAAATGCAGAAAAAAGGTACGTGCCCCATTACATCTGGGTAAGTATGTGGCACGCATTAGGGATAAGGTCTATTTCATTCTTGCATACGTTTCAAAAATTGTCCATTAGATGCTCATCTTCAGTGTGCCAAGGTGAGTAACTACATCGACCTAAGATTAGCGAGCGTTTGTTCTCATAATCCTTGAGATTTACTTGTTATTTTTTGGTGCAGTAATTTGATGTATTAAGCAACATTTTTCTAATGCTTTTGTCATGATTAAACTGCACACGTTATTAACTAAATTGAAAATTTCTTCGGTAAAAGATATGCATACCTATATTAGAATAATTGTCAATATGATTGACTTCTGTTTGGCAGCATAGAGAAAGTAAAATATTTATATTATTTTACTTACTCTATGTTTGGCAGTTGTAGTTGGGCAAACTGGCTACTGATTAATGTTTGAAAACAGGAGAAGCCAAGAATGCCACCCTCAAATACGTGAGCCTGGTGACTCTCACCTTGCAAAACTCGCTTCTGGGTTTGAGCATGCGATTCGCCCGAACCAGAGATGGGGACATGTTCATCTCATCCACAGGTAACTGTTCAGCCTTTTGTCTGCCAAAACAGATTTAGGACTGCTTTTGTTTTAGCGGTTCTGATGTCCGAGGTGGTGAAGTTTATCATATCCTTGGCCCTTGTCTACTTGGAAACGGGCAGTCTGTCCGTATTCTTGGGCACTGTTCATCGGCAAATCATCAAAGAGCCCCTGGACACTCTCAAAGTATGCGTCCCTTCGTTTGTCTACCTGGTGCAGAACAATTTATTGTACGTGTCAGCCTCCCATCTGGATGCCGCCACTTATCAAGTTCGTAGAACAATACCTGATCCTAGCAGACTCTTTATGTGATTGTCTATTTACCAGGTGACTTACCAGTTGAAGATCCTAACAACCGCCTTGTTCTCCGTGTTCATTCTCAAAAGAACCTTGATCAGAACGCAGTGGATTTCGCTGCTGACGCTCGTCATCGGTGTGGTGTTGGTGCAGCTGGCCGAAGGCCACGAGCAAAGCTCATCGAAGAATGCTGAAGGCCAAAACCGGTTCGTTGGTAAGTCTTCAGCCCCGTGATTTACATCTAGATTGATTGCGTATAATTTGTAATTAATAGGATTCACGGCGGCGCTAACGGCTTGCGGCCTCTCAGGTTTCGCTGGCGTCTACTTTGAAAAAATCCTGAAGGGAAGCGACGTGACTGTCTGGATGCGGAATGTGCAACTGGCGCTTTGCTCCATCCCACTGGGGCTGATCTCCTGCTACGCATACGATGGACGGGCCATCGCCGAGAAAGGATTCTTCTTTGGCCACGACCAGTTCGTGAACTATTTGGTGTTATTACAAGCGGGCGGCGGCCTGATTGTAGCAGTCGTCGTCAAGTATGCCGACAACATCTTAAAAGGCTTCGCCACATCAATGGCCATTGTGATTTCGTGCGTGGCTGCAATCTACCTATTCGGCTTCCAGTTGAGTGCCCAGTTCGTGTTGGGGGCGGCCTTCGTCATTTTGTCGATATTCCTGTACGGCTACCAACCCAAGAAAACGGACGCTCAAGGAGTCTTTAAGGTATAGCGGCACCAATTGGGAGCTGATTGTTTGCCCGTGATAAGGACGCCAAATTGACTCGAATTGTTCATTGGGGTCCAGGTGTATTGACTTTAGTTACTCAGAATAGCCTTAATTATAAGTGCTTCAACTCGACTAGACGTAGTTTTGCAGAAATATTATCCGATCACTTTGAACCTCTTCCCTGCACAGTGGACAGGCTTTTTGGTAGTTTAAAGAGTCGCACAAGCACGCCCAGCAGAAGACATGGCCGCAAGGCGTAGCTGTTGGGTTCCGGATCTGATCTGCACATACAATACATTTCACTGACTGAGTAGTAATGGTTTGTACTGTCTTGTCGGGGCCCTGGGGCTCTGCCGTCAAAAAGGGCTGGATGCCATTGAAGAGTATGTAGAACAAAGACAGTTTGCCCAGTAGCTTGAAGCTTCCGGCAAATGAATCACTTTGCAGCCAATGTCGTACCAGAACCTAAACGCCCTGAATAGATAGCGAGAAATCATTACTAGGGCTGGTGGCTGTACTCACATACTTTATTCCAGCGAATCGGTTGGCGATATGGTAGTATTTTCCATTGATATAAAACAGGAAATGGTGTATTCTTTTCAACAGCGGAGCCTGCCCTTTGAAGCACTCCACACACTTTAGAAGCACGTCTTTCGCAGGTTGGGTCAGCGAGGGCGACTTTTTGACTATTGACTCGGCATGTCCTAAAGCCCTCAAAGCCAGCGGCTCGCCTCCAATGTGCAGAATAAGCCACACAAGTTGATGCTGAAAGCTCGCCCTGAATCAACTGGCAAGTCCAGACAGCTCCAGCTTACCAACTTTGTAGGGACCTTGCGGTCTCGGGTAAGTCGCAAGGTGCCCGTGTACTCTTCGCCGAGTGTTTGCAGATTGTACACACTGGTCATATAAAAGTACCAGAAGCGGGCTAAAAGGGGCACGGACCTTCTAATCCTGTGGTAAGTGCGGGCGTTCAAATGTTTGAGGAACGAGTGCAACTGGCCCTCCAGATCGCTGATAACTGCCTGATCGCGCTGGGTGCATCGCAAAAGATCAGCAACCCCGGGTTCAAAGAATTGCATTTTTCCATTTAAGTGCGAACAAAATGCTGTTTATGAGGTTAGTGGGGCAAACTTGTCACCATAGAAAAAGACAAGTAAAATTCTCATTCACACAAGTGAGAGTGAGATGAGGATTGCCATATAGAAATTGGAAACACGCGGTCACCGGTGACTGTCAGAACTAACATAGCAAGGATTTCGCTGGCGGTTTTCAAATGCATATTTTTTTATTTTGTAGTTATAATTCCGATTGTTTGTTTATAAATTCTGGAGTTAAAACTTTCCTATCAGGTAACGTTTTTCGCCACCATTCGTTCACTCAATATGATCTGGGAAATTTCAAGATCTAGATGTTGGAAATTTCATTTTTATTTTCAGAAAAGACACCGTTCCTGGTTAAGCAAAAATCATCAAAATCTGTGAATTTTTAAATTATTTTCCGCATTATTGAGGCTCTTAAAGAAGACAATAAAATTTATAATATAAAATATAAATATATCACACGTTTGATCATGAAGCTTACGTGGAATTATTTATTATAATAATTTATACAAGTTACAATTTGGACAGCGAATCAATAAACTCTTCTAACAGTTGATTGGAGCCAAGTCTCCTTATTTCCTCTCGCGCTTCCAATTCCAATCCCTTGAGGGTTTGTCTGGTGTATTCAAAGCTTCCAAACTTTTCCAACAGTGACACGCAATATTTTTTAACTTCCACGTCCTTTGGCCGTTGCCTAAGAATATCTATGGCCAGTAGTTAAAGAAAAACATATTGAACAACCGGACAATTCATGCTAATATTGATTTAAAGGATACGCATTATTTGCTTGTCCTCCGGATGACTGTTAATGGCATGGATGATGGGGAAACTGAATTTTCCTTCAGTTAGGTCTTCGCAAAAGCTTTTGTGGAGCATAAACTGCAAATGAGCACTGTGCTATTGATGTTGGAAATGCGTTGGTGGATTGAGACTCACAGTTTTGGAGACTAAGTTGAGATAATCGTCCCGAATTTGGAAATATAGGCCCAAAATCGCGGAAATTTTTGAAAAGTCGTCTTTGTTGTTGCTGAATAACTGCATCAGTCTGATGGCCAGCATGAACAAACCGCCCGTTTCTACAACAAAGTTAATTATCAATAAAAATACACCAAAGTAAACTGGATTTACTTCGAGTGACCATTTCCTTGTACTCTTCCTCAGAGGGACAGGCGAAGTTATCTCTCCAATAAATTTCCATTCCTTGACCACGATACAGTTCCAAAATTTGCTCTACAGCTATGGAAGTCGCCTGAAAGAATCATCATTAATCAATTAATACGGGATAATTAACGCCACTGAATCAACCTCAGGATGATTTAAATTTTGGGCTCTCTCCACAGCAATAAAAGACGCATAATTTGCCGCGTTTATGGTACTGGGTATACCATATATTGCATGCGCTACAGGTATGCCTCTCCTCAGGATCGAATTGTCTTGAATATCATCAAGCCTACAATGTTAAGTTGTCCATTCCCCATTCGTTCGTCAAAAAAAGGACTTACAGCAAACTTGAATTATGCAAGATCTGGACTACATCTGTGACTAAGGCCATTTGATCTTCGGGTATTTCAAGCCATAGATTAAAGGCTTCGGCTAGTTTAGCTCGGATATTTTTTCCAGGCACTTGCAGGATGTAATTGAAAGGCTCGAGTAGTTTCTGGAGAGAAAAAAGTTGAAGTAGGTAGGATTTAATAGAATAGATAAATAAATGCCAATTTTAAGAAGCGTACATAGCTGCAACGATGATAAAGGTGAATTGGGAAACTTAGAATCGTTGGTTTAAAAGATAAATGGCGTTATCTTTAAACAGCGACTTGACGTCGACCCTGGTTGTTTTATATTCTAAAAAATGCAAAAATGTCCTTGATAACCGTTTTGAATCGTCGTTTTCAGTGGAAAATCAAATTGGATCTTTTTTTCAATTTTTCATTTCACTATGAGGTTTTGAGTCGATATCTTCACATAATCTTTATGTAGATTTGCTACTCCCCATTACATCCGTGTGCGATATTTATTCTGATTATGATTGATGAGCTTTAGTTTATAGATAAATTAGTGACTTACAATTTTTGGTACCAATTCTCTTTGGGCACGTTCAGACATTTTGCCAATATAAATTTGGGAAACTTTTTGAGGAGAAACTGGTTCAATGAGCGGCGTCAACCGATTTCTGATTTATATGTTTCCGTGTTCGGTTTATATTTGATTTTGCATTGGAATGTTAAGTGCTCCTGCTAGAAAAAGGTGTTTCAATTGCTCCCACACTTCCTCTTATTTCTATTTAATTATTTGCCACTCTATTATTTAAAGTATTTACTTTGCTTATCTACTTGTTGACTTAGATTTACTTAGATTGAAAGAATACTTGTGGGTATCAAGCAGTTATACTGAGTGTTCAAGAGGAGGAGGAGGAGATGACTTTTATAATAAGGCGTTTATTAGCACAACAAAAGCAAAAGTGTTGCAAAAGTATTAGTTCGAAAATTAATTTTGAAAAAACGAGCAGCTGGGATGAAACCAAATTTACAGCTCAAGTAAACTGAAGTTTCCTTTATCGATTGCTGTTGACCACGTTTCAGTGCCTCAAACGGTTCTTGAGAAATAAGCTTCCGAACAGCATGGTGCAAAAAGCAAAAACCCATGCAAAAAATTCATAAAATTCAATATAAAAGAACGATCAGCTGCAGTGAAAACCCAAATTTCCATCTCAAGTAAACTGAAGCTTGCTTTATCGATTGCTCTGGCCACGTTTGAAACGTATTTTTCCAAGTTTAATAATTATTATGAAGGAACAATTTACTTAAAAATGACGAAATGCACACCGCCAGAAAACAAAAGCCTTATTGATTTCACAAGCCTACACCCCAATGCCTCAAATAGTACGTGGGAAACAAAACTGATAAGGAAAGCAGGAGCAATTTTTTCATTATTTTTCTCGTCGCGCAAACTGGACACTTATTCTCGGGTAGTTGGACCAACAAAAAATAACAATGAAGCATAAGAAACATAAAAAACATGGCGATAATTTGAGAAATTCCATATAACTGCGTTGGAACTTTTTTGAATTTGGTATTTAAATCTCAGCGAAGTGTTAATTGTACAAAGGCCACCTGCACCCTTAAATAAACTACGAATCATACCATCAAGGTACATTAAGCATGTTTTTCAATTTTCTGAACAGACAAATTGAGCAGTTTCCTTAGAAAAAAAAACATTTTTTATACTTTTCCGGGAAAAACCTAATGGGCTTTAGTTAATGGGCGTTAGTTGTTTATGCTTTTAGATACCACAAACCCCGATCTTGGGCGATAAGTTTCTTTTTCAGTTGATTGACGGGGCTCCGATAGCTTCAACGCCCGAAACTTCGCCATTTTCACTGTAAAAACGTCATTCGAGTTGCAGAAAAATTTGCCCCCAAACTGCAACCATAGAGAATGCTTCAGTGAACCGTCAGACAAACGGCAGAAAGTAAATCACAAAAAGAGCCACAAATTCTGTTTGTTGTCTGGGAGTGCAAGTAAACAGACTCACCTCATCTTGGTTTTCATCGTTTGTTCGGCTGTAGGGAATTTTTGGGGAATTATCATTATTTGCCATTATGTTCTATCTGTGCACATTAATCAGCCAAACAGAAACTTAGTTAAATTCAGGCCGACAGATAAGCAAATTAATATAAATAAAAAAGTCAGGTTAAGGCGTGTTTTGAACTTGAGGGCTTTCAATTGGGATTGCTGCCATCTAGCGCACAGTGTAGGAGTTTTCGGATTTGTCTCGACTGGTAGTTGAAGTTGAGAGTTGCAGAGGTCGACGTCAGAATTACTTAGAAATTAACTAGTTTAACCGATAACTAAAAGCAAAAAACTCAAAGTTTCCCGTGCAATGAATAAGCGGTGTTTTCCTGTTCCCAGATATGTAAAATTCAGACAATGCTGCGTTTTCATAGAACTTGTGGTTTTCTGCGGGTTCTGACCGAAAAGATGCACTTTTTGGTAAGTGGTTTTTTGAACTTCTTTTAATACTACTTAAGTAGAATAGGCACCAACCACTATATATAGCAATGTGAACTATTCAATACGATACAGGGTGTACAAAGTGTATTGTATAGATAGAGTGTAATGCCTTAACCGATTTCATGGCAAATAGGGCATAGAAAATATTCATGATCACATTTAGGCCTGGGTAACACTGTGTTGAGTTGCGCTTTTGAGTTGTTGCCGCTCTCTGACTTAATAAAGCTGACAAGAAAAGCCATCAACATATTTCTTTTGCGCATACTTGATACTTGGTCCAAAACGGGAAAATCCGGAAATTTTGAAGAAACTTAAAAACATTTCAGAGCGATGGTGATGACGAGTTTACGTTCTGTCGGCAGAAACAAGATAGTAACTTTGTTTTGATTTTGTCCCAAATCCAAGGGTAAAACGGGTATTCGAAAAATACGGTAAAGAAGACCAAACTGTAAAGACGACGACTTTTCTTGTAAAACCCATCTATTAACTTTTTTGCATAAAAGACTCTCAGTCTGCCAGTATTTTACAGTAACACATTAGGAAAAAAACGCGTTGTTCTGTTTAGAGAGAGTTTTGTTTAGAAATATTGACCTAAACGTGAAGAAACCGGAATTTAAATAAACAAATTATTCACAGCGACAAAAGTGACGAAATTTTTCGAATAATTGATTATACACTCGCTGATTCTGTTCGTTTTTTGATAGAATATTATTCTATTCTTGTCCCAAATTCGAGGCTGGAAAGGGACTTTTTACAATGGGACGAAGCAGGCGAGTATCCAAATAAAATTAATTTCGCAATTTTTCGCGGAAAATACCTGAAATTGTCAGTATTTTTAAGGAGAACTAAAAAATAATGCGTTTTTTGCGTAGAGAGAATTGCTTACAAAAACTGGAATGACCTAAAATTTTATAAAAACTTAAAAAATCTTCAGAGCGATGAGGCCGGCGAATTTTTCTAATTGTTTTTGGCAAACTGTTGCTTTGGTCGTTTTTTTAGAAAATGTTAGTGATTTTCGGTGAAAAACTGAATAAAATTATTTGGTTTTCGTGCCAAATTCTAATCTGAAAAGGGTTTTCTAAAGTTCCCTGCAATCCGATAAATGAGGCGAATTTTCTTTGTTCGAAAAATTAATTTTGTTCTTTTTTGGCTGAAAAGACCCAACGCTGTCAGCTTGTTGTCAGAAAAGAAAATATTTTTATATTTTTTTGCATTTTTGATTTAAAACTTTTAGCTTTGTGGTCGGTTTTTGCGAAAACCTTAATAGTTTTCGGGGAAAAACGGGATAAATTTATTTTCGTTTTTCTCCTGTATTCGACTCCGGAAAAAGTTTGGTGAAATTCCTACAAAGCTATAAATATATCTTGTAATTTTTCGCGTAATATGTATCAAGATCGTCAGTATTTTTAAGAAAAACTCTACAAAAAAGAGCGTTTTTGAGTAGAAAGCAAAACAAAAAAATTCAGTAAAAACTAAAAAACCCATTCTTATTAACAAACTACAGTTTTCAGAGGAATTGAAGTGACAAGTTTTCCAAATAATTTATATAAACTTTCGCTTATTCAGTTCGTTTTTTGATAGAAAATTATTTGATTTTTGTGTGAAATTCGAAGCTGAAAAGGGATTTCAAAACTTTTTACAAAGTGACGAAGGAGGCGAGTGTTCTAATAAAAATTTCATAATTTTTCGTGAAAAATACCTTAAGATTGTCAGTATTTTTAAGTGAATCTTAGAAAATTGAGCATTTAGAAAAAGAGTAACTTTGCTAAAACTGGAATATTCTGAAATTTTGAAGAAATGTTGAAAATATTATTGATAAATTGCCCTTAAAATAAATCTAAAAACAAGTAAAAAAAGGAATCAACATTTTCCCAACACGGAACTGAGTTACTGCGCCGGTGCGTTGGGTTGGCGCACCAAGCTATTTGGGTGGCACTGCGCCAACTTCTAAAAATTCATTGAGTTACCTAGGCCTAATCACATTGCCTTTACTCGAAGTTCCTTCATTGGAACCAAATTATGGTTAATTTTTTCTTAAATTTAGGATCATTTTCCTGTTGGAAATATTACGTTTCTATCAGTATTTTCCCATAAAAAGCACAACGCCAGCCACACATACATACAGATGATAATTGACATACATTAGTAACAGAAAATGTGTGGTTAAATTTTAAATTGTGCTCCTCGAAACTTAAGAAATAAATAACAAAGACTGTCGTTTTCTAGCTTAAAACAACTTTCCAAGTAACTTCCAATTGAAGCTTCAATGGAGTTATATTAATTTTCATTAAATCCGCCCGGCTCATGGTATCCAAAAGGCATTTCTCATTCCATAAAATGAAATGAAAACCTAATCAAAGCACTCATCGATAATGCTCCCGGGCTGGCAAAATTGCAGACCTTCTTCATAGGGAAAGGAATATTTTATTTCTGCAACGGATGGGGCATTAAATTAACGGAAAATCTCAATGGCTCCCAATTGAAATTCGAATGCAAATTTTCCTTTTTAATGGCCCCCCGTTTAACCTGATTATATTTTTCTCTTCTATATGCTGATAAGCATCTGCAAACTCGTTCAGTTAATTTGAGATTCATGGAATCTAGTTGTGAAAGAGCATATTTATTCCATTGATGTACAGATTGCATGACTAACCGCATGTTATACGAGGTGGTCAATAGTAGAACAGCCCCTATGTTTACAAGCTCCCTTTCATCAGCAATTAATGATTAATCAGGCGAACATTACGTTATTGTCACTGGTACATATCGCTCTCATGCTAATTAGCTGAACATTCGCCACGTATGATATTTAATCGAATCTACCGAATATATTGGCAGTGGTTCGAAAGCGATAAGATTGCATTAAACGGATGAAACGATGCTTGTTTCCTAATGGATGCATAAGGAATGCAACTGCATAGGAAAAATTAATAACTTTTCTCGTGCCTGCTAACCGAAATTTTTGACATCAAATTTCAAATATCTCAAAAACGGTTAGACGTAGGTTATAGGTGGGTATTGGAGTAGAATTTAAAAATGTAAGGGTGTTCCATTTAAAATAAGTCTATTTGTTCTCCTAGTTATAGTTTGCCATATATCGACGGCGCTGGGACACCCTGTATATGACAAAAGTGAACGTATATCAATTTAAAGGTTTCCAGTCTCCTAATTCCGGTCACGTATGGTTCTCGTTGGGATTCGGAAAAATATATTTTTAAAACGGCGCTAAATTCACCTTTAAGGAGTGCTTTGTATTTCCGGGCGCGATCGTTTCGGTGTTTCTTTTGTGGCCTGGAGAAGCAATTTAGCGTAGGCCCCCTTTTCAACTATTCTGTGCCAAAAAATTTACGAACAATAAACCAGGGTTTTATTTCTTGAAATATATATATGTGTAGGTATAATATAACTGAATAACACAGACTTTGAAGTGAAATGTAATATCAATCATTGGTGTGTCCCTATATTATTCAGCGAACTAAATTTAATCATCCAAATGGCTGAAACGTCGAACAAACAAACGGTTCTACTAGAAATGTTATTTTTGTGGACATAAAAACAGGACAAAACGGCCGAAATGAATATCAGTCGATGCATCAGACAAAAAAATAAACAGCCACCAACAAATGTGTGTTTGCGTTGAGGGTGTCTAAGCTTCCCTATATTGCATTTACGCACGAATGTTGTTTAGATTTAGTACGAATAAAGCGAGAGGGTTTGCGGATCGAATTGGACATGTTTTCTACCCGACTTTCGACTTACTTATACGCAACTTTTCCATGCTTTTTGTCAGTTTGGGAGCAAACTTTTCTATTATTTTTTCTTCTCTTAATTAGCCGCCATTCGTATCGTTCTTGGCCGGTTGAACGATATGTTAATTATATCCAGCTAGTTATTATGAATGCGATTACGTAAATCTAATGTTAGGCTTTCATCCCTACGGGATTAATGAGAGGGAATAATGATTATTGGCGCATTTGGGACGAAATATTGTACATGGGTCAATCATATGTAATGGGGTTACTTCAGTTTAATGGCCAGTAGCAACCACGCTTAATCGTCATCCCTTTGGGGGTGTTTAGGGAGTACAGGAAAAATAACACGAAAAATAATTCTTATCAGAAACTGAGATGTTCGCACATAAACTAGATCAGAATTACGGCAAGAATGTTTTTCACGGTAGAGATTTACAGATATATATGCTTCTGATCTATTTTGGCGAAAAATTCACTCAAAGCAGACGATATTAAAACCGCAAATATCGCAGTTAGGGGATTTTATTCAGCTCATACTTGTTTCATACATTTTCATACTTGTGTAGACTAGTAAAGTCTGAGGCACAGTGTCAACCTAATTTATAATACTTTGTATTTTAATAGATTGTATTTAAAGGAATCATTCCGGTAGGTCGATCGGTAGGGCTTTCTTGTTATGTTATCTAATAGGTGAGTAGCAAGTGGGTTTGGATGTCTTCCAATTCTGGTGTGGTATCTTGTTGATTTTTGGCTTATTTCTTGGCGGATGGTAGAGACTTTCAGATCGTTGTGGATGGTGTTATTATTTACATACCATGGCGCGTCGACTATTTGTCTTAACGTTTTGGACAGATACCTCTGCAGTATTTCGATATTACTGGTGCTAGCTGTTCCTCATAGTTCTATACCATAGCTCCATATTGGTTTTAGTACCGTTTTGTATAATAAGATCTTGTTTTCAAGACTAAGCTTGGACCTTCTACCTATCAACTAATGCATCTTCCTTGTTTTTAATTCTAATATCTTGCATGATTGGCAGTTGAGATAGGGGTATTGTTGATTTTTATAGGAGGACATGATCCTCTTCTTAAAGCGTATAGCACCTGCGTGCATTTTTCCTCGTTGATATTAATTTTCCATTTGGCCATCCATTTCTCAACTTCGTTAACATGTCCTTGGAGTGTCTCAGCTGTGGTCTTTAAATTGCTATCTGAACTCAATAGTACT